GCCCTGGCCTGCATGTGTACGGTGCCGATGAGCGGATCGGGGCCCTGACGCACAAGGTGACCCACGAGCAGGAGCTGATGGTGCGTGCCCGTAGGACCCTGCACGAATCCTGCTCCATGGTGTGGCGGTAGTGCTGGGTTGATGGGGAGCAGGGCTGAGACATGGCGCTGGGGTGGTTGCAGGTGTGGCACCACAGGTTGGGGTTGGGATGGAGTATTGGGCTGGAGGAGAAACCTCATCCCATTCCCTGCCCCTTTGGGACTGCACTGGGGGATGCAGCCCTTTCCTGGGACACCATCAGAGCAGACTCATGCAACATGGGTCTCACCCAAAACCAGCATCCCTAGCACGTGTGTGACCTGCTGAGCCCCTGGTGGGTGACACTGTGGGGCCTGGGGGGGTCTGACTGCACATCATGGGGACACCAGCTTGGTCCTGACCCTCTCCCCCCACAGTTCGGGGCCATCCGGGTGAGGTGCCTCTTCACCCCCTGCCACACCTCGGGCCACGTGTGCTACTTCATGTGGGAGGATGGCTCTCCTGATGCTCCAGCACTATTCTCAGGTATGACACCCTGCAACCTGCACCCCATGGGGACACGGGACATGCTGTGTGCCTGCTGCCTGTCCCCCCATCCCTGGGAGCGGGACCAGGGTCTGCTCCATATCCATACCCCATTCCCTGCAGGTGACACTCTGTTTGTGGGAGGCTGCGGGAAGTTCTTTGAGGGCACAGCAGAGCAGATGTACACCAACCTCACCCAAATCCTGGGGGCTCTGCCGGAGGAGACGGTGAGTGCCCCACACCTCACCTACAGCCTAGGAAAGGAACCCCAAAACGAGGAGGGGGCTTGAGGGTAGCATTGCCCATCCCTGGGGCTGCAGTGGGACCTGGGTGAGTGTCAGATCCAGCGCCAGGAGTATGTTTGATGCTGGTTGCAGAAGGTGTTCTGTGGCCATGAATACACCGTCCGGAACCTCAAGTTCGCCTTGAAAGTGGAACCAGAGAATGAAATAGTGAAGAAGAAGCTCGCATGGGCCAAAGTAAGTGGCTGTGTCCCTGCTGGGGTGGGGTGTAAAGGGGGATGCTGGCTGATGTTGGGCTTTCGGATGTCTCTGGTTCCTCCGCAGCAGCGGGATGACGAGGACTTGCCCACAGTGCCCTCCACGCTGCAGGAGGAGTTCCTCTACAACCCCTTCCTGCGGGTCACGTAAGCAGTGATGGGCCCCGCTGCAGGGACACTCCAGACTGGTCCTGCCCCATGCTCTGCTCCCCTTTTCCTTCCAGCATCATCCCTTCTCCCAACAGCTTTGCTGGCTGGTGGCAACTCCAAGCCCTGAGGGAGGAGACACAGGGTCCTGCACCACACACACCATGGGTGCCACAGATGGGCCATGTGTCCCCCAGCACCCCCAGCACAGGGAGATGACCCCATTGTCCATCAGGGAGGAGGGTTGCCATCCCACCCACCCCACTCCCAGCAGAGCTGGTCTCCTTGCAGGGAAGAGGCTGTGCAGAAGTTCACGGGCAAGACGGACCCAGTGGAGGTGCTGAGGACCCTCCGCACTGAGAAGGACAACTTCAAGAAGCCCAAGGAGAGGCCCAACCCTCAGGCCATGCTGGCATTTGACTGGGGACTCTTCAGCGCCTTCCTGGAGAAGAAGTGAGCAGCCATGGCACTGCTGTCCCCATCCTGGTGGGAGCTTCTCCTGGACTCTGTCCATCTGGCTCTCGCTCCCATCAGATTCAGCACTTGGGAAGTGGATTCTGTCTTTTACCTGCTTGTTGTGAGGCTGCTGTGCTGTGCTCCCTCCAGCGCCGTGCCTGGTTACCCTGGTCCCTGCGGGTGCCTTCAGCCAGGCTGTGGCTGTGGCTGCTGGTGGTGGAGGGTCGGGGGATGCTTTGGAGGAGGATACCCACACTGGTGACAGTGCAGGAGCTCAGAGCTCCACACCAGTCACCCCATTCCCTGCTCAGGACAAGGGCAGGCAGGGAGCTGCTGGCTCCATGGGCAGGGATGAGGTGACACCGAGCCTTGGATGCACAAGAGGAAGCCGGGAAGAGGCTGGAGTTTTTCCTCGTGTCCAGCAGTACCTTGACTCCGGAAGCCCTCATTGCAGTGAGGTTTGGGTATTTTTCCCCCCTTTTATTCCCTATTTTTATGGAAGGCCAACATAGGAACGTGGCGTAGGGATGTGTAACACAACCACTGCCTTATGGGAGCCATCCAAACCACTGACCCCATGCAAAGCAGCACCAGGTGGAGATGAGGCCCGGAGGGATACGTGCTCCAATGCACTGGTTTCAGAAAACACTTCTCAAGGCAGGACAGAGTTCAGGCAGCAAACACCAAGGTGCTGCTCCCCATCCATTGATGCTTCCCTCTCCAGGATGAAAGCCTGGGAAGCTCTTGGCTGAAAGCTGCATTTATGTGGCCTTCTATTCACAACAAGAGCTGAGGACCAGCAGGGTCCCTTGAGCCTCATCACTTTGCAGCCTCTTCCTTCAGGTTGTGCAGAACCTACTGTGTTTTGGGTTTTTAAGTGTGAGTGATGTGCAGAGCTTGGTTTTATGCAGGTGGTGGGAGGTGCATTATAAAGTAGTTTTATTTTTGGGATGGAAATAGAAGGGCTTGATGGCAGCTCTGTAAATAGCTGTGAAATTCCCCCTGAAGGGCCTGGGATGCTGCGGGTTCTTCTCTACCTCCACGTGCAGCATGTGACTGTCTTGGTGCTGCTGTACCTACCCTTGTTGTGCACAGCTCCAGAGAACATAGAGGAGCTGCTCCCATCATCCTTTCCCCCATGTTGTTGCTTTAAACAGTGCCAATTATAAACTATATTGCTTCTAACACTGGAATAGAGTTGACTTCAGGATCTTTCACGTGTGGATTGCATCAGTTCCCACTGCTGCCAGGTTTGTGGCCATTTCTTCCCTTGCTAGAAGTTAAGCTAAGGGGTTTGGTTGCCTTTTATTAAGTTATAGTGTTAGAATTCATCCTGCTGCACAAGCTGCCTCAGCTACCCTGTTTAAATGTAACTGGACAGTTTGCAGATGTTACCTGTGTGTTCCTTAGGAGATTTATGTACAGTAGGAGCAGGATGAACCCCATGTGCTCAGGGAGGGCTCTTGGACCAGCACCAGCTCTGTTCATCTTGGCAGCAGGAGCTCAAGCACAAGCTCTAAGTTCTTTAGAGCTTGGAGTGTCTGTAGAGCTGACTTGGCTTGTTTCAAGTGGAGAACCTGATGGCTTTAGCAATGTGCAGGTAACTGGAAAAGAGACTCATGTAGAGCCCCAGTTGTTTCATCTCCAGCTATTTTAGCTTTATTTGTGCACTTCCAGCCTGATGTGCATGTTCTCAACAGCAACAGCATGTGTCTCCCTTGCACTAAGGTACAGGGTTGATGGTCTCGGCACTTTTGGACTGACCCTGTGTCAGCAGTGGTCCCTCCTGTGGATGAACTGCCTGCTTTAGTGTAACACTGTGTTATAAAGCTATGCATGGGAAAGGGTGCACTGAAAGCATTGAAATGAGGGCGGGCAGGGGGAGGTTCTCACCTTAGGAACACTGTGAATTCACTCATTGATCAGCAGCACCTGAAAAATGTACAGCTTTAATTAAAAACCAGTATCAAAAATGACTTTTGGCTTTACTTGGAACAGAGAGGAGGAGCTTGGAGGAGGACACAGACTGTGCTGCAGTGAGACGCAGGTCAATCAAGGGCTGGCAGCTTTGCTCTGACAGCCTGAGCTCAAGGTCTGCAGTAATGGTGGGAGGATCCTTGCCCAGGGTTCAGCCTGAGCTAGATCCAGGCACCAGCTCCCTCTGGTTGCATTTACTCTGAAGGAACAAAGCAATGGGGCAGCTTTTGCCCACTTTACTCCCTGCAGAGTCCTTCCTCACAGAGCAGGAACTGGAAATACTGAAGTGATTCAGCAATGTGGTTCTTCAGTTCATGGTCTCTTGCAGCTACAGCAGTCATCAGGAGAGATCCCACATCTACCAGCATCCCCTTGAGTTCAGGTACAGTTGTGAATCCTCCTGCACATCCTTCCCCTCCACACACACACTGGAGCTCCAATAGACATTCACATTAAATAGACCAAAACCAGTTCATAATTCAGTTGTTTTTCTGTGCAAAGCTCTGAAAACACCCCCACATATAAATACATTGAGACAGGCACACGTCACCTCTAGCAACAGCAGCCCAAAGCTGCTTCACATCTGTCTTCTGGCAAAGCATCATAACACGCTGCATTAAACCAGATGTGCTTTACTAACGTCTTGGATTGCTCTGGTAAACTACTTGTAGAGATTACTCCTCACAGTCACCTTCTAGTACCTTTAGTGCAGTAACACCTTTCAGAGACACCAAGGGCTTTGTCCTTCCTTGGCAAGCAAGCTGGCAATTCCTGAAACACTCAAAATACTGTTTTCTGTGATTTTAATCACATTACCCGTCAGTAACTGCTGTCAAGGATGGGGTAGATGTGCCAGTCCTGTGACTCCCTCCACTGTGTATTTAGGGAGAGAAAGAGAGATGTAATTACCCACAGCTAGAGATAACTGTTATAATTAGAGGGAATAAAGTCACTATTAGCTTTCTCTTCAACATTCAATTCACATTTCAGCAGGCAAAAAGCAGCCCCAGAGATGCTGCTGCTCACAGGATGCTGATACCACCCCTTGTGACAGGGCAAAGAAACCACACTCCCTCAGGGCAGTGAAATGTTAAAGCAGAACCTGAGGTCTAATGAGACCATTTCTAACTCACTGAGAGTGTCCCAGCAGAGACAGCCACAAAAACGAGTGCTGTGAACACACAGCAAGGCCTGGAGGAGTAATTCTGTCATGGAGCACAAAGCTCACCTCGGTGAGGCTACAGCCCACTGCAAGCCAGCTCCTTCAGTACCTTAAATCATCAGTTCTGGGAGGAATAGGGCTGTAAAGAGAGTGCAGGTTTCATCCTATATAGAGCCCAGGCTGCATGATGCATAAAAGCCAGTGTTTGGGTTTTATTTACATCACTTCAATAATCATAAAGCTGTAGGTATTAAATTGCCTGCCTATACACACATTGTCTCCTCGTCCCTCATGAGTCAAAAATTGCACAGAACTTTAGCTCTCTTTTGAGCATCTTAAACATAATTGGGTCAAAAAGGCACCGAGTGTCTGCATCTGGGCTTCCCAGCGTCACCATTTGATGTTAAATCCAGTGCTTGCCTTCTCCACGGCGTGGTATTCTGTGTGCAAAGCTTTCACAGCCTTTTCCGACTCCACACCACCCAGCCACTGCTCATAGAGCTCACGGACAGTCCGGTTCTCCTCTGGAACTGCAGTCTGAACAGACTCATACAACCTCTCAACCTGCTGCAGCTGGTCCTTGCTGGAGTCACCATCGAGTTTGATCTGACCACCTCCATTTAAACAGCCTGTGTGCAACGAGGTGAGAAAACAGCACTGAGGTTAGAAAGCGCTTCAGCTTCAGCAGACATACCCAAACCGCAACTACAGTTCATGTACTCTGCACCTGCAAACAGCTACATAAAGAGAGCATGGTGATAGTTGTGGTTTACTCCTCTGTTATCTAACAGCAGCAGAGCTGCAGCTCTAAAGGGGAGATCCCGGGCCTGGTGTGCCCCAGTGCCAATTCAGACTGCAGAGAGCTGGCACACGGGGATGCCAGGAGGTCCTGGCTCTCATCTTGTGCCTCCAGAGAAAGGCCAGGACACATTCCAGGTGAGAACAGCCTTGGGGTCTCAAATGAAGGTAAGAAACACACCTGGGATACGTTCGGGGTTTGCTGTTGGGGTGGAGTTTGACTACATAGCATTTGCTGCACCAAGAGGTGTCTCGGTGCTGAGTGGCCTTTTGGACTGGGGCTGTGCAGACCCCCAAGGAGATCTGCTCACAGATGCTGTGGGAAAGAGGAGGGCTTGCACAAGGTGGAAAAGGGAATAAAACAGGCAGCAAGAGACTCTTCAGCAGCCATAGCAAATGTTCACTAAAAGCATTAACAGTCGATTTTGTGCAATTTTAGAAGAAGAATCTGATCATGTACCAAAGGGCTCAGAAAACCAGGAGGGTTTCCTTAAAAGCACTAACTATGTAAATGTAGTGCACTGGAATTTAATCGTCATTCCTTAAATCCTGAAGAATGGATTTCCTGCTTCTAGGCAGGAAAACATACAAACGGCACTGAAACACTGATGCTGTGACTGTCACGTCTCCAGAGCTTGGTGGCTTTGCCACAACAGCCAGGCTGTGAGAAGCTGCCTGTTGGTGTCATGGTTTGGGTAGAGCTCCACAGAGCTGCTCACAGCTGTGAGCTGAGGCAGTGCAGTCCCAGTGTGGTCATTACCTGAGGGACAGGCCATGACTTCCACGTAGTGATAAGGTGATTTCCCTCGTTTCAGCTTCTGCACCAAGTTCTGGATGTTTCGAAACCCATATGCCAAAGCAAACTGGAGCAGGACTGCTCCATCCTTCTCCAGTGTCACCTCCTGGAAGTCCTTGTTTCTGAGGAACAAGAGTAGAGAAAACATCCCAACTAACTTCTATTTCAAACTTCAAAGAGCCCTGTGCTAAGCCAGGTCTTGCTCAAGAATGCTGTCCTAGTTCTTTGCCACCCAAAGAAAAGAGATGAAGGAACCATCTGACAGATCCTTTTCAGCTGGTTGGAGGACCCACCACCTGAGCTGGCTTTGCTGAGGAACACCTGTGTTGAATAAATCCTTAAAAGCTGAGCAAATGGAGCCTGAACAAGAGCTTCATTGTGACAGAGCTTTATAGCTGGCTTCAGCCAAGTTAGAGGAAGCTTTTAAATAGGAGTGGGTCATAAAACAAGGAAGCAAACCATTCCTAAAGGCTTCCAGACTCCTAAGGTTGGTGGCAATACCTGTTCCTGATAAAAGAGTGAGTGATTTGATTTTTATCATGTATTTCATAGTGAGCCTCAGGGAGACTGTTTCTTCTGCTTCCTAGTCCAGAGAATCTTAAACTTGAATATTACTAATCAAGGATGTAATTCATAACAAATGGTACTTAGTGTCGTAGCTGGTGTAGTAGTGTTGTTGCTGGTGCAGTGTTGTAGCTGGTTTAGTAGTGTTGTTGCTGGTGCAGTGTTGTAGCTGGTATAGTAGTGTTGCTGCTGGTGCAGTGTTGTAGCTGGTGTAGTAGCATTGTAGCTGGTACAAAGAATCTTAGCTGACTGAGCCTCCATGCCCAAACTCAAGGGACTTGTTTTCTGCCTTCCACAGCACAACTAAAAAAGCCCCAAAGCCCTTACACAAGCTCTTCTGTGACAGTGAGATTAGCAACTACTTCATTGGCCTGGCTGCAGGTGTGGCAGCTCAGATCCATGGGAGCTCTGTCTTCTAAATGACTCCAAAAGTTGCTGCAACTTGATAGTGGGAAAATCCATCAGGCCAAAGTCAAGCTTGTGGGCACTGCAGGGGCTGAACTCTCCAAGGCAAAGGCTATGTGAGCACTGCCTGATTTATTGCCCAGCAACTGTGGGAGTGAGAAGCCAATTCCCATGCCTTGGAGTAAAATCTTTAACATTGCAAAGAAAGTTTCAGCCCATCAGCAAGATAAGAGCATGAACAGAATTCCAATGAAAACAGTGCTTTCTGTAGGGCTTTAAAGCTTCTTACTTTAAAGGTTTGTACTGAACTGTATCCACTTGGATTCCAAAGAGCTCCTTGGCTGCATATTTGTATATGTGCTCCAAGTAGCCACCAGAACCACCTCCAGAGTGGCTTGTGAGCTCCTCTTCTGTACTGCTGAATCTGCAGGGAGGAAGAAAGAGAGTTTTAGGGGATCTCTGATAAGCCAAAACAACCAGCACAAATGCAAAGGTCCAGGGGACTCAAAAACAACAGAATAAACTCTTTTTGAGCTCCTAGCTTTTCCTTTTCTCTTGGGAACCCACTATTTATAGCTTTAGAGCCCAGCAGCTTTAACTCTGTGCTGCCTGCATCCTCTGGTCCAGCTCAGTGGAAATACCATTGCATGCCACAACCAGGCTTGATCCTGCCACCTCAGTCTTTGTGTACCAAGAGTATGTTTGGGAATGCTGAAGTTACAAGGGCAATGTGTAGTTTGTTAGCTTCCTGTTTAATACCTCTACAAACATCCTGGATTTGGGAGAGAAGTATTAAAGCTATGGTGGTGTGGGTCTGTGCAATGCATGCTTCTCTTGGAGAACACAACCTGGCAGAAGTCTTGGCTCAGTCATCTCAGTGCTAAAGCTTTCCTGCAATACCAACAAAAGCAGAGTTCATGATTGAAAGCTCTAGCTCTGTGTTATGTGTTCTTTGAAAGCAGCTACTTCAGATGTGGTTGCTGGGACCTGAGATATTGCTGCTGGGAGGTATCAGCGCTCTGACCACAAGCACAGAGAGACAAACCCCACGTTGTTGTGGTTTTGTGTGCTTAGAGTCAGGTAAGAAAGGTGAACAAAGCTAATGATGCCAGGATGTGGCTGTCCTCAGCAGGCTCCTGGTTCAAGTTCAGCACAGTTGTGTTTAACCCCAGTTCTGTCATTCTAGTTCTGCACAAGTAATTCCCTCTCCCTGACATGCCAAAACACAACCAACCACTCACAGGTCAAGATAATGTTTCTTGAGAATATCTCACCAGATGGAAGCCACAACAATAGCTTTTGTTAGGAGAGAATAACAAGATGAGGGATCTGCTCATAAGCACTCCTCAGGCACCGACACTTGCGTTCTCCTATGAACAGCTGCGGAAGGGAAAACACTTGAACTCAGGCCAAAGAGTTTCAAGTCAAATGGAAGATGTTGCCTCTCCCAGATAACATCTTTGCTTTGGCAGAGCTGCAGAAGGCAACACTCGAGCCTGCAATCGCCCCCGAACCTATTTTTAATGTGATGTTGTTTACAGGAACTGAGCTTCATTAACAGCATGTTTCAGTGTGTCTGGCCTCACGTACTGCTGCTCTCTTAAACTGAGCCTGCCAGCGAAGCCTCAGCGCTGGCCTGGAGCAAACAGTTACAGCAGCAAAAGTCCCGGGATTTCTGGCACTTGGGATCATTCTTGCTGCCAAATGTAATAACCTCTTAATGGGCTTTTCCACGTGCTGGGGGATAAAGCAGAACAAGAGCCATTGGAGTGCTCCAAGTCCTGAGGAATACGTGCTGTTTGTAAGCAGTCAATTTACCCAGTGTGTTAAACCTCCAAAAGGTGCTAGAGGCGCTTTATCACTGCTAGCATGAGGCCTGGTACTCACAATGTCCTCCTAAGAACCTGGCCAGAGATGCTTATCAAGTCATTAGACATTCAGTTCTATGTTATAACTGACACTTCCATAATGTCATTTCCTAAGGGAACCCAAACACTTCAGAACCTTCTTCTCCATTTTCTGTTGATGCTGTAACAACAGAGCAGGTACAACAGAAGTACTTGTTTATGTGGCATGGTTTGAAGTTGTACCTTTGGGACTCGAACATGCAGGCATTTATTATAGCTGAGGATACTTCTTTTTTGATGTGAAAGTTACCTGTCTACAAGTTATGTTAGACACTTAATGCAGGAAAAAGTGTGTATAAGTAGATCTGAGCTAGTAAATGCGTCAGGTGAAACCTACACCACTGATACACTGCAGTGTAGCAGAACGAAAACTGAGGCTCTGTGCAGGCACATTGTTGTAAATCTCTGTAAGTATTCCTTAGATGAAAGGACTGGATGGCAGTAGAGTCATAGTCTCCTCTTTGCAGAAGTACACGACTGACCACTGTAACAACTTCATCTAGGAAATAGGCCTCATGTATGGACACTTCCCTTCACAGCTCAGTCAACAGCCATGTGCTGATCAGGCAGCTCCCAAGCAAAGGCTGCCAATGGCACTTGGTTGTACTGGAAAGACTTGAAGCCTATTTAGGAATAAACCACATTTCAAATCAAGAGTGTCACATCTGCAAGGGGTGCAGCTGAAAACAGATTAAATCCTGATCTAAGCATGTGCTGGATGCTGCATATTTGGGGGATCAAAAACTCTTGTAAAAACTGAAGGTTTTGAACCATAGACTATCTTTCATAATGCCTAAAGTTTGCCAAACATGCAGCCTTTTTATTCATGTGCAAAGTGCTATGAAGACATGTCTTTTATGCTGAAGAATGCTGTGGTTTAGTGTTAGTGCAGAACCAGCACATCAGCTGAGGAGTAAAATGGGATCTTAATGTTTCCACCATCACTTAGATCTCTGTGCAGTTGTCACTTAACCAGATGTTACTCTTCAGTTCAAGCAACCAAAGTCTCATCTGGTTTGCACGTGTCTTAGATTGGTTTTTTTACAAGACTCCTAGAGATGAGCTGAGACACCTGAGTATTTCTAACTTATGCTTTAACTCTGGAATACAGTAGCTCTGATAACATGCAACAGAGATGAGCAAACTGAGCACGGGGCAGTAACAGGCTTTGTTTTAGCAAACTCTTTAGCACTGATGAAGATTCCTTCACTTCTCAAAGGCTGCAGGTGGGTTTTTGCAGCATTCCACCAGCTACACTGTGAGTAACAGTAATGGGCAATTGACTGTCCCAGTTTGTACTTCTCTCCACGATCATTTTGCCATTATAGTCTTACTGAGCTCAATCTAGCAGCTCTGCTGGTTTACAATGAGAGCTGCTGATCCTTGGGCTACTAAAATCTAGAACAAATAGCTACAGATTCTCCAAAAACTCATCATATTCTGTAGATTAAGTATTTCAGTGCACAACTGTCTGGATTCAATTAACACAGGAGAACAAACTGAATGCAAACACATGCAGCTTGTGTTGAACAGCAGGGAAAGGGGGAATTCTGCTGAAGAACTCTAGAAATGGTGGGTGAAAACATGACTGAAGATGCAACTAAGATTTTGTTCTTACATGGTATCCAAAGGAGCAGGATCTACATCTGACAGAGAGACTCCTTCTTGTTCCAACAACTTGAGCACTTCTCCTAAAGCAGAGCCACAAACATAAAAGGTCTTATTTTCAGGATAAAGAAAACCAAAATCCACAGACCAGGACATAAGGTTTCATCTACAATTTCTGCCAGGACACAATTTGCATTATCAAGTGTAATTATACAGCAATTCCATACACTACATCCTCTCTGAGAGACAAAGGGTTATTAAAACTAGCAAAAGCCTTGCTTTGAGGCTTCCATGCATTAGCTGGACTGCCTCTAAGCTCTGCTTACCTGTGGTGATTACACAGTCCACATCACGAGTTTGGTACTCTTGGTTGAAAAAGTCTGGCCTTGAAGCCTCTAGCTTTTTGTCATAACAGGGCATCACTGTTACATGGTATATCTGGTCGGGTGTTAAGTGCTGGAAGAAAGACAAAGCTGTGCAGCTGGACTGGCCAACATCAAACCAAGCTCTTGAGGGAGATGTTTTCCTGGTAGAAATGAGAATGATGTTTCCCCCCACCTCCTTTTGCTAATGCAGATGATCTAAAGTCAGTCAGCAAAGTGAATTCCTAATTATGCAGTTATAGAATATGCTGCTTCTATGCTACTAAACCTCAGCCTCTCCATCAGCAACTAAGAAATGATCTGGAGTCATAAAAACGCTCCTGACCATCCAAGAAATAAGCATAGGCCAAGGAAACAAAGTCACTGACTCCAGGCCATTGTTTCAGTATCTTGTGCCAAATACTCTTAGTAGCTGCCAATTTCTGCAGCAAGTATGCAGATGTCAGCATTTACTTAAGGCAAGTGTTAAATCACTGCTCATTAATAGACAATAGCTCGTACAATCAGAACCGGTGCTTAGGTTTCTTACTGGACAAATCTAGGCTGTTATAGCATAGCTCTAGTCTTTAAGTATCAGATTTACATTTGGAAAGATTCCAAAGGTTAATGACTGAGAACAGAACTAAGTCAAACTGCAACAGAACATTGTTGGGAACAAGCAAATCACTTTCAGGCAAGACATGATCTGCACGTAAGCGCTGACTGAAGTTTTGCCTTGCTGAATAACTTCAGATAAATTACTCTAAACATGAAAATACCATATGTAGCCAAGATGAGAGCAGAGAGACACTGAAAAATAAGCCCCTCAAGCCTTCCCAAGTGACACACAAAGTATGAGGTAGTCCATGCAGTATGTGCTCAGTGTTACTGCCCTAGTTGCTAGCTTCTCATTAGATGAATTAGAAAGATGTTGCCTTTGTTGGTTTCTGCAGGGAATTTTTACCTTTAATGTATAACAGGTAGCAAAATACAAAATAGCAGCTTCATGCCTTCAGTTTTAGCTGTTTGCCATGAAGCACAGTGCATGCTTCAGAGCCTTACCTGCTGCTCTGCAAAATAGCCCTTGATCAAGGAGCCCATGACCTGCTGTGGAGACTTGGTGGTACTGATATAAGGAATGATGAAGCTGCCATGGGTTTTCTCTGCGTAGCAGATCCAACCTGGTAAGAGTGTAATTAGCAAACTAAATTAGAACAGAACAAGCAGCCCTTCACCCTCCCCTCAATCCTAGGCTTAATAACCATTAATAACCATTTTCAGCCTGGCTTCAGCACAAAAAGCAAAGGAAGTGTCACACGAGATCCAATTTACACATCATTAGGTAACTGTATGGATCACTGCTATTACACTGAGATCTCTGTGTATTGTGAAGAGAGTAATCCTCTAAGTACATCTATCCACTTACAGTTTTCTGACCAGCTTTGGGGGTTTCTGTTCATACTATTCATATGCCATTTTATTATTCCCATAGGTAATTCAGTGCCATACCTGGACAGGCAGAAGCAAGCATTGGCAAAGCCTTTCTGTCTTCTGATTGCTTTCGAAAGCGTTTCACAAACTCTCGTTGGCTCTCCAACAGGCTGAAGTTTCTTGAGAAGGTTGTATCAAAAACATAGTGCACACCTAGAGAGTACAGCATCTGGGTTAGAACTGCCAGGGAAGAGACAGCAAACTGTAACAAAACCCTCCAGTCAAACTAGACTCAAACCACACATCTTATTTACAGGTACCACCCCCTGCAGTCACGAGTGATCTTCATTCCCTAGCACAATTAGATGAGCAAAAGTGGCAAGAGGACTCCGAACCGAATCTAAAATGCAAAGTTCCTTCCTTCCATCACTCCAAGTTTATCATGTGAGTGTAGCTGTAGACAGTTCTCATTTTAGCTAATGCCAATTATGAAGCATTGTGAGTCCACAGGGAGGTTATATCACATCAAACTTGTGTGCTCCTTGTGATGCTTAACCCCTCTGTGATTAACAGAACACACCACCACACTTGCCTAAACTCTTCAAGAAGGCAGTCAGCTTCTTTGCTGTTTCCAGGACACCCATTTTACACCTTGCAGCCAGTGAAGCTCTGGATTGGGGTGAAACAGAAACCACCACCAACTTCTGTTCACTGGGAGTGGCAGCCTGAAAAATCCAACAAACAGCACTGTTCAGACAATATTAGTAAGGTACGTGCAGAGCCCTCATCACTACAACATCAGACACTTAACTCTGAAGTCAGTAACTTACAACATTAAAGGTCCTTTCCAAACCCATGTTCTTACAACACTGGAAGAAGCACAACAGCGCACTGAGGATGTCCTCAGCTCTCTGATACTCATTTACCATGACTTGTCACCTACCTTGTTAAAAGCCAGCATTTTGTAGAGCTCTTCGTGGCTCTGCTGAGTGATCAGAACACTCTCTGCTGATGTGATGCAGCCACTGCACGCTAAACAGTCGTTGAGGGTAATTTTAGCCTTTTCCAGTTTCTGTGCTCCTCCATCCTGTAAAGAAGCAGATCAGAGTTGTGATCACAGGCAGAATCAGGTACAGCTTTCCCACCTTTACTATGTTTACCAGAAAGATGTTGCCTTTTTATGCTCTCAGCTCATCCTTGAAAAAGTTTCTTTTAGGAAGATGAGGAGAGTGACAAATAGCTTTGAAGTTTCCTCCTTGAATAGGATTATCTGGCACCAGATGCAAACGTGCTGAGGAACTTCAGGAAAATTCTAGCAAGACCAAGACTGTAACTTCCATCAAATGCAAACAGTTGCTGAGGCCACAACTATTTGTGCTACGTGATGGACTAACGCTGCTCCAAAACACTGGAATTCTATGATCCCAGAGGCAAAGAGGGTTTATCTTGCTGGGGTTTTCAACTTGTGGGTGGCTGAAGGTTGCAGTCACTGTTTTAACCATGAGACTATAGACCACAGAGATCCTAACTAAGCCTTTAAGCACCCATCTCCAGCGTGCATTGAATATTGCCCTGGAGAAAGCATGCCAGCTGTGCCACCTCTATCAGATACTGCTCATGGTATTCCTAGAATGGTTTGGGTTGGAAAGCACCTAAGATCATCCAGTTCCAACCCCCAACTGAATACACTGGCGCCGTTTCTTCACAGAACCCTTAATTTCACTCCTGGTACACAGATCATGTAACCAAACTGCAGCTCACTAACACTGTTTCATTGACACTGAGTGTTCTGCAGGCTTTCTGTGTGCAAAACTCAGGCACTGATGGGAAAAGTGTCACAGCAAATCCCAGTGTGTGGCTTGCCACTGGAAGGAAGTATTTTTCATAGTATTTGACCTGAATAAGTCAGCTTTCCCATGAGAGTCTCATCTTAAATGTCACTTCTCAGTATAGGAAGAAACAGCCCAAGCAATTAGGTAGCATTAAATTAAAACTAAAATAAGAAACTCTGGACTCTTTGGAAGTGCTGTATCCCCCTTTTCTAAATGACAAGGTCATCATCTGCCTAAAGTTAAATGTACCATTTCGAGATAAATTCCCAGCTTGGTTAACTAAGAAATGCTGACCTGCTCTGCGTAAATAGGAAAATCATCCTGCAAAACTTGGCATTAATTTTGGAATCTTAAGAATTGTGCAGGCTACTGAACAAATAATTTGAATTATTATGACAAAATCAGAGCAAAATCTAAGGTTATTTAATTGAACCTCTCTGTGACATAATGCAATAATAAAAGACATTGTCACAAATAACCTAGGAATTGCTAATACTTAAGCACCAATGGCAAAATAGACTTGGCTTATCTGTTTTGACACTAAAAGTCATCACTAATCAAAGCCAGTGTTTCAGAGCATAAAAGACTGACACAATTGGAATTATTACTTATAAAACCAGGTAATTAAAAGCTGGACTTTGGAAAATGGGTATGAGAATGCTGACAGCAATAGTGACACTTTTCTAACACCCTGCTCCTCTCTGAGGCATTAAATAGTTGCAGACTATTCAAATTCTCAACAATACCCTCAGGTTTTCTGGCTATTTTACACAACACAGAAGAAAAATCACACCGACCTGACTGATCTGAAAGTAGCTTCCATCTGCTTCAATTCTGATCTTGGCTGCTGCTTTCCCAAGCTTTTTTTCCACTTTTACAGGTTTGATACATTCCTGAAAGAGAAATAAAGCCTGAAAGTGAGAACATGAGCAACAAAGAGGTAGATTTACTTGACTAAACAGCTAGTTCTATAGCGAATGCTGCTGCTTCTTACTGTCCCTTAAGCTGTGCTGGATTTTACAGCATCTACAATCACGGAGGCAAAACGTAAAAACCAAAACTTCTTACCCCTTTCTTACAGAAGGAACACTTTTCCAGCATCATACCAAAAGCAGAGGACACTTTTGTTGTTCTTTCTGAAGAACACAGCGGTGTTTTAGGGAGCCTTGAAAGGAACAGAGGCTTCTCTGCAGCCTCCTCTCTCCAGTCTTACAGATGTACTCTTCATGGCAAGTTTTAAGTGATGGAGGCGGGGCCACTACAGTCAACACGAGCCTTGTGCCAATGAGGGCTCATTTAATGTGGAAAGGGCTCCGAGACCTCAGATGGACTCCCTCCGGTGTTCTGTATTGTTCTGTGATGAAGTCTCAGGGGTGGTTTTTGCATTTGGTGTGATTTTTATTGCTTAGGTGCTTTATGACTCCTTGTCCTGCTTCTATAGCTGGGATCCCCTTTGCCTTTTACCATCCTTGCTCTGCCAACATCCTCAAGTTTCCCCTCCATAATTAATCCAGCTTTACTATATGTCCTGCAGAGACTGGCAGGACCAAGTCACTGTGATGTTTCACCGGTGCTCACTGAATACAATCTCTACTTGAAACGGAAAGCAGGTTGCATTACGTACGTGACAGACTTCACCAGGAAGCCCAAGTGCTGCAAGGATTTAATGGAGTTTACTCTGCCCCATTCCACAGATCTCATTTCAGAGTGGTTTTACTGTTGTCAGCCAATGTGTCTATAGTGGGGGGGGGGGGACGGGACACTAGATGATCTTAAGGTCCTTTCCAACCCATTCTGTGATTACTCTCATACTTTCGCTAGTGCTTGAAGACTCCAAGAGGAATAACCTTGACCCGTCCTTGCTGATCACTCCCTTCTCTCTGCCACCTGCTGGCATGAGCATCTATGTAGGTAAGTGTGCAAAGGAACTCATTTAGGGTTAAGGGGAGTTGGGGGGTCTTAGATTAACATTTATCAGGGCAGTTTCCAGTTCAGGGTGCGAATGACCGACCGGCTGCTGGGCTAAGATATCTCTCTTCTGCTACTTAGAGGTTTGAACCCATCAGCATCACTGCCCTCTCTATTCCCTGTGCATTGAGGATACAACAAGGTATCTCTGTGCTTCTCCCCTTTTATTTAAATTCGAATAGAATCATAGAATCAATGAGGTTGGAAAAGCCCTTTAAGCTCACCCAGTCCAACCGTTCCCCAGCACTGCCAAGGCCACCGCTAACCCATGGCACTGAGGCCTCGTCTCCACGCTGTGTGAACACTTGCAGGGACGGTGACTGCAGCCCTGCCCTGGGCAGCCTGTTCCAATGCCTGAGCACCCTCTGGGGCAGGAATTGTTCCTCAGCTCCATCTAAACCTGCCCTGGTGCAGCTTGAGGCCGTTTCCTCTTGTCCCATCCCTTGTTCCCTGGGAGCAGAGCCCAGCCCCTCCTGGCTCCATCCTCCTGTCAGGCACTTGTAGGGAGCGATCAGGTCCCCCCATAGCAGGCGGCTGCTGTCACCCTCCCTCAGCGCCATCTTCCCGTGCTCCCCCAGGCGGCGCTGGCCGGGCCGACCCCGCGGCTCCCGAAGGGGGGATTTGAGGGCCGGGGCCTTGTCCTGTCCCCGCTCCCTGCTCCGCAGCCCCGTCCCGCACCCACCTGCGAGGGCCCGATGTAATCGTCCAGGTCGGTGAGCTGCAGCACGCCGCTGAACGGGGACGCCATCGCGGCGGGCGCACCGGGGCGGGACCCGCCACACTGCCGTAAAAGGAGAGGGACCGCGCTGTCGTAAAAGGAGAAATGCCACACTGCCGGAAAGCACGGAGCGGCGGGAGGGCGCAATGGCGGGAGTTGTGTTGAGGCGGGCCGGCGCGGCGGCCGGGGTAGGGCGTCCCTCAAGCAGGGTGTCTGCAGCGTGTTTGCTGACTCATGGGCTGCAGTGGAAGGTGTGTCAGGCTGAGGTAAGATACAGGCACTGTGGAGAGGGAGGTGTCATGGTCCGTTGCCTTGTAATCACTGTGGGGTGTCTTCGTCAGTCAGATCTTGGGCCGCATCAAAGGAGCGTGAGCAGCAGGGCGAGGGAGGGGATTGCCCCCAGAGGTGGTGGATGCCCCATCCCTGGAGACATCCACGGCTGGATGTGGTTCTGGGCAAGCGGAGCTAGGTGAAGGTGTCCCTTCCCATTGCAAGACGTTAAACTAGACGAGCCTGGAAGGTCCCTTCCAACCCACACTAATCTATGGGTCTATAATTCATGTTGCAGAGTAAGGCCTCAAAGCTCTTGAGCCTGTGGAGGTGGCCTGGGTACCTGTCACCCTGTCACTGTTCTCCCACCGGGGTGGCACAGGTGGGGCTGCTGCTCACACAGCCGAAGGGTTTGAAGCTGTGTCTGCTCCCTGCGCAGCTTGTGCTCATGTGAATGCACTGTTTTGTGTGTTAGAGGGTCAGAGGGGGGGAAATTACTTGTTCTTTGAAGGAAACCATTTCACTTCCATGAGAAACAGCGGAGAAAGCGGTGAACAGGTTTTCAAGGCTGCTGGTGAGGCTGCAGTGCTGCCTGGCTGAGAACTTGGCATCTCCATTGCAGACCCTGCTTGGACGTTTCCCAGTGTTGGTATTGCAGGGAAAGCCTTGCAAAGTTGGGCTCTTGAAGAATCCAACTTAATATACGTTAACAAGAGCTGTATTTCACAAATAATACCTTGGTGCTGTTTGTAGAAGTGCCCCGAGGTACCAGATGGGGAAGGCTCGGTGCAGGTTGCTGTCAATAAGCAGAGCTGCTTGGCCTTTCCAGGTGTAGCTGCAGGCAGAGTGCACAGGGAAACTGGTAGTGACTGGGGCTGGCTCCTGAAAGCACTGCTGGATTTTGCCCTTGTAGCTTCAAAAACTCTGGTTAGGGTGAAAGGATGGGGCTCCAGACAGCACCCTCACCAACAAATGCACCAGGCTGCAGGATTCTACGTGACTTTAACATCAATTTCAGCTCTAGATGATTGTGAAGAAGTGATGAGCTCTGAAGAACAAACACCCTTGTTGATTGCTGTGTTGTGGAGCTTTCTCTGGGCTAGAATACCTTCTCGTTAGGGGGAGGTTAGAATCGTACTAACCAGAGGGGGAGAGCGCAGTAAAAACTGGGGGTTTTCATATGTGTTGTTGCTCTTCTGGTTGCAGGAGGTGCTGAAATAAATGTTAAGGCACCTCATCAGCTCTGAATCCACAGAGATTGTCCAGAGAGACAATGATCTGGTCAAGGGTCTGGAATAACTGTTCTACTTCCTGATAGCTTTCCCATAAACCCATTTGGAAATGCTTTACTAGCGGAGTAGAATCCCGAGGGAAGGAGCAAAAGTCATCTGTGAAGTTGGTTACAATTGGGTTGTGTGAAGCAGTGGGGGACATGCCCTTTGCAATCTGCATTCTAAGCAAGCACAAGGGTGTCAATGCCACGGAGAACTTGATGTTCACTTCAAGTCCCCTTTCACTCAGTCACTTGAGTTGTGTGTATCTACTACTTCAAGGTGAAACCCCAAAGTAGGTCCCAGCAAGTCTTTCAGGCTCTGAGCACTTAGTTCCTACACAGGAGAAATAATAACTCCAGAATTAGGTAGGTTCATACACAATTATGTGGAGTTGCTCATTGAGTGGTTACATAGTAGAGACTTTTAAGCTTAGTAGTAATGGATGGGTCATGTTAGCAAAGTGCTGGTGGGGTTGTGCAAGAGCCTGGCCCTGCTCTATGCAGAGATGGTGAAGTCTCCAAGGCAGGCCTGGCATCAGTGCTCAGTTTTGCTATGTGTTATGTCCATTTCTTCTGGATTAAGGCCTGAGAATGTGTAAGTGACCATGATGGGGGAGTTGCTCTGAATTTCCCAAGATTTATATCAGTCCAGTTTCTCATTCCTCTTTGGATGTTACAGGCAATCCCTAGAAAGGAAAAAAAAAAACCCTACAGGTCTAGTTATAAGGCTGTGTAAGAAACTTGAGACAACCTCTGTCCCATCAGGGCAAACATGGTGACATTAATGAAAGGCACAGAAGACACCATATTTTAAATTAATGATTTAAGAGATGATACCAGAGCCAGTTCTAACTCTGGGCTATATCCCCATGCAGTGCAAGTAGGTCCCACAGAGAGGACCAGATCCAAGGAGACTTTAAATAAAGTCTGGAGCTGCTCTGTTTCTACTCAGCTCCAGCCACATGGACAGAATGAAGGTAGGAACCCATGACTGATGCTTTGCCTGATCAATAACTACTGATGCAAAGGTGACTGCAGCACAAAGCACTTGTAAAGCTTGGCAGTGTGGGCACAGGATGCTGAGGGACAGCAGCTCCACCACTGTCCTGTTGACATGGGGGAGCAGAATGCACAGTCTGTGCAGCCACATAGCTGTGTCTCCCAAGGCCGTGTCAGTTATGTGTGGAAGGTGATCTCAGCTGCCATCATCAGCATCCTTTCTTGAGCTTCAGTGCTTCCAGGAAAGCAGAGCTTGGAGGGAGGAAGGAATTGCAGCAGGTGATGAGCAGAGCTATTGGAAAGCCTTGATGAAGCTTAGCAGAAAAAGTGGTGAAGGAATAATTGGCAAAATGACCCCAATTTCTCCTCTTTGCTGCTCTCCTCCCCTTCCTTCCTCTCCTGCTGAACAATAACAGTTGGGAATATGACCTGACTGTGTCCTTGCTGGGGAGTTGACCTTGGAAATTCACTTTTGTCAGCAGAGTTGGACAGCAAAGCAAAGCAGGTGCTTGAATTTCCTTTCCCTTCCACTCCTACTATGAGAACAGGCAGCAGAGTCCTCACATTGAGAGGTGAGGCTGGGGCACGCTCAGGCTCCTCAGCTTGGCTTTTGTTAACTCATAGGAACAGCAGGGCCAGGACAAGCAGCAGAATCTCTCCCTCACTCACACACAAATGTTTTAATGGATGTTAACAGTTTTAGAGGCCTGGTTTAGAACCTTTCATAAGGCATTAGACTAGCACAGATCAGCGGTAGAGAAGCCCTTGCTGTTTACATCCTGGTTCTGGGTTGGAGTGATAGATGTGCTTCCCAAATTACTCCGAGGAGGAACTTTTTACACTGGTCTGTGTACCCAGGTTAAGGGAAAGTGAGGGCTGGAGTGAGATGAAGATCATACTGGAGCAGGAGGAACTCTTCTGGCTCATCTTCCAGATATACTTTATATCTGGCCATGGAAATCCCGGAGTTGGAAGTCTGAAGGTTCACCTGTGACTGACTTCAATAGTAACTGTTCTCTGCTGCTAGGCAGGACATTTGTGAGCATGTTCTCAGCACACCATGTGTAATTTCATATCTCCTCTTCCTGTGTCTTATCAGCCACTGCTGTTTGGAGCTTGTCACTGAAGTTTCTTGTCTTCTTATGGAATTTAAATTCTCCTGGTAAGATGGTTATCCCTGTGTCCCTGCCCATGGCAGGGGTTTGGAACAGGATGAGCTCTAAGGTCTTTTCCAACCCAAACCAGTCTGATTTCTGTGTTTCTATATGATAGACAGAAAAACCCCAAATAGAAATGACTTAACGTTTGTCATGAGTAATTCCCGGTAGAGTTTCCACAGGAGCAGATGCTGCTGTATGGAATCCTCCTGCTCAGTTACAGCAGCTCCTTCCCCACAGCCCTTCCCCAGGTGAGTGGCTTAGCAGAGACCTCCAGTGGCAGCGGGAGGGATTCCCAGGAGAGAGCCGGACGGTGTCCAGGGCTCCTGGTGCCCTCTGGTGCTCGGATGTTCCTTGTGGCAGCCTGGTCCCAGGGACACGCTGGTTTCTCTAATGGGTGTCCTGAGCCCACAGAGCAAGGAAGGTGCTGTGGGCTCTGCACAACTCTGCTGGCTTGGGGAAGTGACCCTATAGGTACCTGCAGGGCTGGGAGGTTGCAGGAGGCAGGAACCAGAACTGACCCTGCAGTGCTTTTCTTACCTTCCCCAGTTCTCTCTGCAGCTCTGACCTTGCCATGTGCTTCTTAACACACTGCTTAATGTCCTATATTTCTCCTGCCTCTCCTGTCCTGGGAAATCAGGACACAGCCAGGCAAATTGCCTGCGTATGGCTCCATGTGCTGTGGTGAATGTGATGTTCAGCCAGGTTCAATGATTGACCTGCTTGGTACGTGTTTACTTTTCATCAGATGTAGCAGGAAGGGGTTAAACCTTCCTTCTCTTACCCTGCAGAGCAGGAAGGGGCAGGACCAGCTGAAGTAAACCCCTTGCAGGTGCTTGGCATAGCATGATGCTCAGTGGTGTGGGGAGAAGGTACTTGTAATATCAGACCTTTGGCTGACTGAAGCTCAGGGATTGTGGGAGAAGGGCTTTAGTCATGCTAGAAACTGGGTTATGCTTCCCACTTCATGAGCTGCATCTCTGACTTTCCTAATCTGGGCTCTTACCTTTCCCCCACTTCTTCCTTAGGGCTGTGTGTAACCTCTCACCCTATAGGTGATGATGTGCACACACGTGTGTATATAAATGTATATGTAAAGGAGAGGGCAGATCAGACTGCTCTGCTGCATCGCAAGGTGTCAGCCTTGCTGTGAGGAGAAGCAACTGAGGACACACACAGTGTCTCAGCAAGTGGCTGACTCATGCAGAATCCCATGTTTCTGAGGCTCTGAAATACAGAGGCAGAGCTTTGTGCTTGAGAATAAGGAGTGCCTGGCAATTATAGCTGTATTTTGCTGCATTTCAGTGCATGGTAGAGATGGCCAAGTGCTGATGATATTCACAACAGAGCCAAAAGGAGCAGGGACATTACTGGGTGCCCACAGCACCTCACTCTTTCTTGCTTGGCCCTCTGGAAGGTGAGTGTGTGCTTTGGAAGGCCCCGCTCAGCCAGAGGACATGGGAGCTGTGAGAACATGGCGCTGCAGCTGATACCAGTAGTGCTGCTCCTGGAGTGCCAGGTACTTCTAATGCTGTGAGCACCATGATGGCTGAGGTCAGTGTTGTGACAGCCTGCTTCTTCTGAGCAGCCTTTCAAGGCTGGGCTGAGTTTCTGGAATCGTGTGAGCTCTGGGCCTCCTCCTGCTTAAAACTGGTCTTCCAGTAATGTAACATTTAAACTGGTTGTGCTTCTTAGTCCTGGCTGTTAATGTCTCCAATAAGCATAGCCTCAAGACCCTGCCCTGGTGGGCAGCTAAACAAGTAGGGCTAGGGCATTACTGAACACTTCTGCTCTCTAGTGCAGCCAGTTGGTCACCAGTATGAATAGAAACCTTGTTGAAAGAGGAAGATGAGATAGAAGAGGGCTCACCTTTTGGTTTAGCTTGGTTTGGCTCATAATTCAGGTCAAGGTGTGAGGGTCAGATGTAGGTGGTTTCTGACGTTGTGCAAGAGAATCCTTACAGCGGAGAAAGGGAGGTAGAAAGCAAACAAATCCTTTTGTGTAAACCTCTGGCAAGGTGTAACATGGCAGTTGGGGTTTACTTCCAGCTGTAAACTGGTATTTGATGCTATTTGGACTTTTTATCCAGTCTTAAGCATTTCTGCTGCCTTTGTATTATTACACTTCCTTTAGCAGCAAGCAGAAAATAGCTGTGGGAGTGTTGTGTGGCCAGAGCTGGGTTTGCTCTGGAGTTACTACAACAGGCAATAAGTGAGGATGGGCTTTTAGTCCTGAGGTGACCGAGGATTTGTGTGTTTGATGGTAGTCAGGACCCTGCCTTGGCTTTCCTCTCTCCTCCTTCACAGCTTAGCAGCAGCCTCAGGCAAAAGCCTGTCAGTGCAGGCAGGAGAGGATGGATGGTCTTGCTTGAGCTGTAAAACACAAACCCCCACTCTCGGGTTCTGGTGACCCCACTGGCATTTGTAGGTGTGGGTGCAGCAACATCTTGAAACCAATAATGTTTCTTTTTGCTTGTAACCGAATGCTAAAGCAAACAGGGGTAAGGCAAGCTGCTCATTGAACCAAATGTTGCCTTGTTTATCAGAATCTCTCTAGCTGACATTTGCCAGGCAGGCACATAATGCACACAGGCACATGGCTGGATGAGAGCTGTGCACTCACACATTCCTTTCAAGATCTACCCTGAGATAAGAATCACTCCTGTCAACTTGAAACTGTTCTTGCATTGATCTGAGGGTGTAAATGTTGCTCAGTTGCTTTCTGAACCAGTGGCCAGTTCTTGTATCTGCCACTCCTTGAGGTAGAGCTATGCAGTTTAATTCCCGTGTGGAGAGTCTGCTCCTTTTCTGATCTAGCCCTTTGGTCCTGTGAATGCTTTGGTTTGCGGAGAAAAGTGGCTCTGCAGCTGAGACGGCCCAAAATGCTCTGTTGCAAACATCACAGTTGCCTGTTAGGAGCTCTCCTTCCCAACGCTGACCATAGCAGTTACATTCAAGAAGAAAACCTTCTTTATAGGTTACTTCCAAGATGAGGCTTTCCAAAAATGCCTTTACCCAGAACCTTTCAGCCTGCCAATGCAGAACATTACTCCAGGCAGCATGCTTGGAAGGCTGAGCCACTCTTAAGCCAGGAGATGTTCTGGTGAGTGCCTGCAGGGCCCTCCTGGGTTACTCCTCTGTGATTCTGCAGGTAGGTGACAGCAGCTTTGGTCCAGAGCAGGATCAGGACTGCTGTGCAAGGACACAGTGAGCCATTGGGCAATGCTGTTTGATTCACTGCCACCAAGATCCCAGTTCTCACAGTGGGCATTTTTTGAGCAGTGTTTCCTTGTTTGTGTTTTTGGAGAGAGAAGGAAGAGGCTTCACACAGGCTTGTTTCAGTCAGTGGGAGTCTCTTTGCATTCCAAGTCCCAGTAAGCCTCAGATCTGTACAGGGAGGATAAAAGGTGGAGCTCAGTGCAAGTAATGACTGTATCATAACTCCATTCTTGTGGGCTTGCAGCCTTAGACCACAGGTTTTGTGTCGCTCCTTCTGTGAGCTCCAGGCATTTCCCTTTGTCAGGTTTGACTCTGTTTGTTGCCCCACTGAAGAGAAAATCTTTGCTCTAGGCTGAGACTTGACCTTCCTGTCCCTATCTTTCCTTCTGGTTCTCTGTCCAGTCTGGTTTGGAGATCCTCCTAAAAGGTGCTCTTGTGTCTGTCACCTTCTGACCCATTGTCCAAAGGGTAATTAAAGCAGGGGCTGAGCTCTGCAGCTGTGTCATGGTGTGCTCCTCCAGGACTCTTCAATGAAGCCTTCCTTGAGCATTCTGGTGTGATTTTGTTCTGCAACCTCTTCTTTTGGCACCTACTGATGGAGATTCCCTCTTAGATGTGCTCACCCAGTGAAGGGATCCAGTGTGATGGACAGGGATACAAAGAATGAATTTAGTTTCTCCTTCAGAGGTGTGTGGCTTTCTCCTTCAGAGGTGTGTGGCTCCAGATCCTCTTTCTGTACCTGGGTGATGTTGTCCCAGCAGGACCCCGACAGATTCCTCCTTCAGGAGACAACTAATGAAGAAACAGATGAATACCTTCTTACTTCCAGCAGCCTTCCTTGCCTTACTCTGCAGTCATGGCAGTTTGCTTGTCTTTGCTTTGTGGTGTTTGCTTTCAGCCTTCAGTGTGACCACAGAATTTCCACAGCACCTGCAACATTTTAGTCTCTTTAACAGCCTCTTTTGGTTTCCGTTCAGCAAAGTTTCTTATGTTGTGCTTTGCTTTTCCTGTTCTTAAACCTTGCCTTCCAATTCTGGATCATGCTCTGTGTTTAAGGTTAATGAACAGGAGTGTCTGGCCACAGTAAGCTCTGATGGCCCTCACAAGGTTACACAGGAGCTCTGCTGTAGTAAAAGCTTGAGTCCCATCCTGGAATGGTGCTCCTCTGATCTCATGGGAGGCCTGGCTTTCCCAAGGGGACACAAAGCCACTTTTGTTCCGGATGGAACCCAAGGGGAAGTGCCGTGACTGTGCTGAGCAGGGTGGCTGGCGTGCGTGGTGGGGATGGCATCAGGAAGGGTTTATTCTCTGGTGCCACACCTGGCTTGACATGGCAGCAACACCTCCCGGATCAGCTCCACTTCGGTGCTGAAGAGCACTTGAGCTGCACTTGATGCTCCACATGCACAGCCCGGCTGGGTGAGGAGGCTCTGGCTCATTTTCCCACAGCTCAGACCTGGTCCACTCCTGCCCCCTCATGCACATTCATTGCCTCCCCTCCTGCCCCAGCCTTGGGGAGTGTGTTAGAGATTGAGATGCAGCCCTGGGCAGCTGTAAATCTCACTTAGGCTCACTTGAGCAGATGCAATGCAACAAATCAGCTCCAGCCTTATTCTGTGTGATTATTAGACTCTTGCTTTGTTATGAAGCCTTCAAAAATACTTGAACACTGTAAGTGTGATAGCAGCTCACCTATTGCTGTGTTGAAGTCATTGCCTGTCTTCCCATCTCTGAACTCCTCTTACTTCATCTCCTCAGCTGTGTGCTCTTTGAATCAAAGACCACCTTGTTCATCAAGACACCTTGGCTCTGTGCTCCTGGCTCAACTGCTGAAGGATTAGTGCAGGTGGCAGGGACTGGATGTGTGTGCTCAGCCACCCTGTGGACAGACCTAAGGGAAGTATCAGGTTGTTTAGAGATGGAAGTTCCTCCTTGCCTTTGTGAACTCTGGTTTCTCTCCCCATCACAGGGCTGCTCTGAACATTCTTTAAGTGTGCATGACTTCCTGGCTGACAGGAGGAGAAGATCCCAATGCTCGCCATGTCCAGGGCTCCCCAGCAGCACAGACCTGTGTGACCCTCTGTCATGGACAGCCTGCTGGCAATGCTGAAGATCCAAAAGGCACAAGATGCTGAAAGCTTTGGTATTTGAAAGCTGACTGAAGGATCCCCATCCATCTCCAGGACACCTCACTTGGAAATCCTGGAGGCTTCCTGCTTTGAACCAGAAGTCTGTGAACCTGGCTACTTACAAATGGTGCATTTCAAGCTTGTATTGATTTGGGTAGGTTGGGATGGGTGTTGATGAGAGTCACTTTCAATTGGGCATCATCTGAGTCAGACAAACTACATTATGAATCAGGGTTGCACTTGTTCCAAAGTAGCTGATAAGCACATTAAGTGTGGCAGGAAAGAAGGGAGTGTGGAGAGAGCTGGTGATGATGTGAGTCAACATGTACTTTTCCTGGTGTTGCCACAAACACAAGAGTTAGAGGTGGGCATGATGGGGCAAGCCTAAGCCAGGGAAAAATCTGGTTTATGAAAAACTTGTTCTGAAAAGCATCAATAAAGTGACCAAACAAAGATGTTTCAAAATTACCTTGAGGAGAGCACAAGTTTAGGCAGAATCAGGAGATCCCTCTGGCTGCTGTTGCACACATCTGAGGAGATCATGGGGGACACCACCACATGTGATTCAGCTGAAGGAACAGGGCAAACCCATTCCTCAGCTCCTGCAGCATGCAGGAGCATAAAGACCCCTTAAAACCAATTGTGATCTCTTCAGTAAGAACCCTGCTTAGTTTTAAAATAGAGGAGCTTGCAGGAATTGGAAAGCCCAGAGAGTTGTGTCCTGGGATCTTTACAGCAAGGAAATAAAGGGAAAAGGCCATTTCTGGTGACAAAACGGGGGTCTTTGCAATTACAATTCTGGAGGCACTGGACAACAACATTCCTGCTCAGTGGTCTCATTGCTGTGCTGTTTGTGAGTGCAAACAGGCTGCTGCAATGAGTGCTGATGTAAAAGCCCACAGTGGCGCTTGGGTGCAGATGCTGGGCACCTTGGTATGAGGCTCAGTGTGCTCTAAGCACCTCAGGAAGGAAAGGCTCAGCAAGGAATGGCCATGCTGTGGGATTTGCCTGCACCAGTCCAGCCTTACACTAGCACAGGGCTGCAGGTTTCATTTCAGCTCTCCTGATCCCTCTGCCCTGAGTGGAGAGCTCTGTGTTTCAGGTGACAGACCTCACTGAGCCTGGAGCAGAGCTCCCAGTTGGCCGTATCTGTGATCTGAAGGTGTCCTGGCTGCCCACCAGAGGAGCTGCCATCCATTCCATGGTGTGGTTTCCCACTGGAAACAACTGGGGTAAGCAGAGATTTCAAGCTCCACTGAAGCAAAGTATCTTGATGACAAACATTTCCTTAGTAACTGAAGGAAAGTGGTCCTGGAGTAGCTCTGTCCTGGGGGCACAGCTTTATTTTTGTTGCCTCCTGTAAATGCCAGAAGCATCCTGTGCAGAGCAGGAGGGAATGCAGCTACTCACTGCTTACTCCAGGCAGCCTCACTATAGGCTCAGTGTTTCCTCTGTATCCTAGGAATGACAGGCATTAACAAATAACACATTTATTTGTACTGCTCAACATTTGTGTTCTCAAGGACTTAAGGGTATGCCCAGTACTCCAAACCCATCCTGTAATTTCAGATGCAGCTTTGAGAAGGCAGAGGCACACCCTGCTTTGCTCAGTGAAAAGCAGCCCTCGGTCGTCACTTGAGTAGCGGCTTGCAGGTAAGTGCCACAGTTAAACGTCCCAGTGGGGTGGTGCAACTCACACTCTCCTCTGCCAAAGGGAAGCCTGCATTCAGGGCACTGGTAGCAGTGAATCCAGCTTAACTCTTAATTCCCTGTGTGCTTTCCCAGGCATAGAGGACCCTCAGTAGTTTTGTGTGTGCTTTGGGTCCAGTTTCAGAGAGGTTGTGGAGGGTGTTGGTGTGTGTAAGTTTGCACAGGAGACAGTCTCCTTTTAACTTTCCTACTCTTTAGTTTGGTTTTGCAATTAAGTATTCTTCATGTTTGATTTTGCTTGGCTGGGGTAAGGTGATTCCTTGCTTCTGGGGGAGCTCTGAAGACCTCTGCAGGAATGCTGCCTTCGCTCCCAGGGCTGGGAGTCCTCCTTTTGCTTGGTGAGTATGACAGTGATGGGTGTTCCGGGAGGATTTTCCATACCAGCAGCCGTAGTTGAGAGAATCCTTGAAAGGGAAAGACCACTTTATTTAGTGGTTCCTCTAAATCCCCTGCCTTTATGCTTGTTCATTGTATCTTTGAACCCAAATATATTAGTTCTTGTAGTAAACAGGGTGAAAAGGCAAAATGGGAGTTCATTCTCCTGTCATTGCAGAGCTGCCTGCTCACTGTCCCTGTTGTTGGAGTATCCAGGTGTCTCTGGGAAATCACTTAAGAAATAATCTTAGCTGAGTCAGATTACCTCTCTATTCCCTGCTTTCTCTCTCTCTGTTTTTTGGGAGTAAGGAATTCCAGAGGAGGATCTCTGTTTCTCTGAGCAAGTGTTAGTGCTTTATTCTTCCTCATCAGACTTGAGATCGTGTTTTCAGTGAATATTGATGATAAAAATGAACTTGTAATGTTGAGAAACGGCTCCATAAAGGGACCATCATTTTCTCTGCACAGGCTTAGTTACCAGTGCTGAAAGAAGAAAAACTATTGAACAGTTAATGTCTTTATTTCTTTAGTGGTTGTTTTTTGTTCAAACAGCCCAATGTGTTCTGGACACCCTGATGAAAATGAGGTTTTCCTCAGTCTCTATTAACCACCTGTACCAGGAGGGATGTCCCTGTCCAGCAGAAGGACACATGTTGCTTGTAAAACTTAATGACTCTTCGTGCAGCTGCTTTTAGGTCTGGCAGGTCAGTGATTTTGGTGTGTTCTCATGTTGGTCCTGTCTCAGCGTGCAGCCATGGGAAATCATTCCAGTTCTTTGGGCTGTGCTTGCCCCCATAGAATCACAGAATCGTTAGGGTTGGAAAGGACCTTAAGATCATCAACCCATCTTCTGTAGATAACTGGAGGCGGAGGAAAGGCAGAATATCAGCAGTGTGCTGAGCTTGTAGAGAATTTGCATCCAGCAGTTTGCATGTTCTGTCCTTTGGGGATGGAGCAAAGGGAGAAGGAAAACACAAGGTTCTGAGGGTCCTTAAAGCAGTTTCTGAAAGGGAAGGACAGGAGATCTAAGTGTTGTGGTGCCACACAAACAGTGTGAGTGGCCTTGTAAAGAAGCAGTGGGGAGACAGGGCAGTGCTCATGGCACAGAATTGTTGTCCTCATGGAGGAGGAGGGACTGTGGAGAGCAGCTGAACTGTGAGCAGCACCGTGTATGTATGTAAAGGAGATGGTCTCTTCTGTTATGGAAGGCTTTGCCACAGCCTGCTGTGCGTGTGTGCTGATGAAGCACGGGAGTGAGAGCAATGCTGGGAAGGATCTTGCTCCCAGAATGATGCACATGTGTCTTAGATGGTTCATGACATGAGCTGAGCCTGTTCCCTTTGTTGTGATGATGTGAGATGAAGGATTTCTTGTCAGAGAATGAGGATGTTGGTGGTAGTAGGTTGGGGTCCTCTCTGATCCTGAAGGGTGAGAAGCCACCCTTCTTCTTCCCCCTTCTCCCCATGTGGGTGTTTCTGAATGCTGCTTTTGAGTCAATGGGACCATTCACGTGCTTAAACACATGCGTAAGAGCTTTTGGTGAGTGGGAGCCAGAGGCTTGGTTCTGTGTTCCCAAGGTCCAGTTCTGAGGTGAGCAGGAAGTGATTATGGAGGTGGGAACAGCCCAGCTTTGTCTGCAGGCAGGGAAGCATGACCTTGGGGCCGGCCTCTGGCACTGAGCTCTTGGTTATCATTTTGGTAACTCTTTTGGGGCTTTTCTTAGGTGTTAACGTTGATGTGTCAGGGCTGAAGCATTGCATATGCTCTGTGTGAGTGTGTTTCCTTTGCCTGTTTCTTAGTGACAATTGTTCATTAATTAAATGATTGAAAAGGTGTAGTAATTAGTAGTCAAAACCCTGTTATGCTAATTAGGGTGTATCCATCCCTTTGAGCTATTTTGTAATCCCCTTCCTAATACAGGTCACTGGGCTCATTAACACATCCCCACTCAGGAAAGCCACTGCCTTTCTCCTCCTTCTCCTCCTTTTCCCCATTACAGTTCCATGGTAAGGGTCTCCTGTTGATTTCAGTGCCCAAATACCACTGTGTGTTTGCCTGACATTGCCCTGGGCCACGTTACCTCAGTCCTGTAGCCCTGTGGAGTGGAGGAGCCACAGGATGTAGCTTCTGGGTTTTGGTTTTGGGGCTCAGCTCCTCCACATTCCCCCCGTGGATCACTTCTGACCAAGTACTTGTAGATAACACCAATCCCAACTATGCTTCCCACACTGGGGTCTGAGGGCTGGAGTCACTGATGCTGAAGAGTATTTGTGCTGATCTTGAGCTCTGCTACACCTCAGTGTACCCAACCAGCCCTGGGCAAGCTGGTCCATCGGCCAGGAGGTGAAACATGGGTGAGGGTGATTTCTGTGACCTCTTCAGCCTCCTGTCAGTGATCCAGAGTCACTGAGGTTGGTGGTGTGCTCCCTGATGAGAGATAACTTCCAGAGCTGTGTTACTCCTTGAGCAGGTGAACAAGGCTGGCAGAGAAGTGGAGGTACCCTGAGCTTGCTGTGGTCTGCCATGCACTGAGATGGCTCTGAGGATGTAGGCAAAGGGGTGGGAGGAGGATGGTGCAGACTGGGCACACCATGTGGCTGGTGATGGGTGAGGGGTGTCTGTGGCAGACATCATGGGCTGGGATCAGGCACAGCTCCCCAAGGAGATGGGTGGAGGTGACAGTGGTGACAACCAAGCCCTGAATGCACTATTAGAGACACCCACTGACAAAACCAACTGTGCAGTGATTCAGTGCTGGCAAATAGTGACAGTCAGTGTAACCTCTGAAGCCTCCAACCATTGCGGTCTCCCTCACACTCTCGTTGCATGTGGCATTGGTGCCATTCACTTGTTCTGTCCTGTCAGACACTAAGGGGAAGTCCCCACCTTTCCCTTTTTCCTGTTCAGAGAAGATGCTGATCTTGACAGGTGCCTAATCTGAAGTAAATAACACTAATGCCAGGGAGATCTGAGTCTGTTTGTTGTCACTGGTTTCCCAAGCTTGCATTTCGCCACCTTTCCAGCACGGCATTGGCAGGGAATATGTAAGTTACCATCAGGAACTATGTAAAAGTTGGGAAACAAGGAACAGATGAGGGGAGGGCTTGTGGAGACCTGCTGAGAGCCAGCAGTGACAGCTTGGCTTCCTTCTGTCAAGCTCTGGGGCAGGACTGGCCTGCGGCTGTAACATGGTGTTACCTGTGTCCTGAGCACTTTGCAGCATGGGGTGACTTTAATCCAGTTGAGGACTTAGCAGGAAAAAGGTATGAAACACAACAGAGGCTTGGCTACAGCTGACATGTTGATGGGGACACAAGAAACAAGTAGAAGCTGTTAAGCTTTAAAGTACAGGCATGATGAGCCAAGCTAAACACTGATAATGGGCTGGCCATGATGATGAGGGATACTAGGAGAGAAGGACCATTCCTGGAGTCCTTCTCTGTTTCTGACCCTTTCCCTGCCTTTTCCTCTCTGGAGACAGGGATGCATGCAGTCCCTCTTGTCATCTAATACACTGTCCTCTGCCAGACTAACCCAGGGAGGATGGAGGAGTTACCTGTGTCTGCTCACCCAGTCACAGCTCTCACAGAGCCAGAGAGAGAACAGCAGAAGGGTCTGACGGAAAGGATGCTGTGAAATCTAGTGCCAAGAATGAGGAATAACATAATATAGTGGGATGAGTGATCGAGAGCCTGTTAAGCCACACAGGGGCTGGATTGTGACAGTGAGCTTTGTCCTGGATTTGCTGCTAAAATCATGGCACGTTCTCTTCCAGGTTGGCAGGTGGCTGCTGCCCCTTCGGCTGGGACATACCTGGTAAGGCAAACCTGTGTGTTTAAAATACATGTCATCCATGTCTTTGCAAATCATGTGTGGGTTGGTGGTCATTGTGGGCCCCTTCCTGAGAGCAGTGCATTGGTGGGAATTGGTTGCTACAAGCCAGATCCAGAGTAAGAAGGTGGCCCTTCTCCTTTGTCTCCCAAGCAGTGGGTGAGGTGGAAATGGCTTTTCCAGGTCTTCGCAGGGATTCAGTGCAAGCGCATCGCCAGGCAGACTGATGAAGGTGACACCCATTGACCCCTCTCAAATCATGGGGAGAACAGTCCCTGCCATTGGCCTTCATGCCCGAGTGATGGGAGGACTCCCATAACCCCGAACTTCCCTGTTGTTGGAAGTGTGGAGCAAGGACTGATGGGAATTTTGCAGATGGCAAGATGGGAACTCTGGATCTGAGCACTTGTGTGTTTTCAGGCCAGACCTGAGTACAAGTGGTTGCAGCTGACAGGCTTCTCTGCATGCACTGATCCCAAATGATGTTGTGCTACCGTTAACTGCATGATAATTTCATGTCTTTTCTGTCTTTGCCCTGACACAGTGCTCCAGCTCCCCTGTCAATGGTGAGTTTCTTTGGCCTTCTTCCATAAGGAATATTCCCTGTAGTTCTGTATACATGTTCCTATCACAGTGCTTTTATTTTTGTCTCTCTTTCTTTTTTTTGGGAATCAGAATCTGCTGTGTGTGCCTCAGTGAAAAGGTATGTGAACCATCAGTAAGTTCCCTTGGGAGTGATACTGCCTTGTTGGGGATGTCACTTTGGGTAGCAGGAAGCCTCTGAAACCAGTGTAGCATCTTTCTCCCTGCAAAGTCCCAGGGTTGCCTGTGAGTGGGGAGGGATCTGCTTGCGCTCATTGAAACAGTGAAGGGAAATTGCTTTCCTGGGGCTCTGGGTCTGTGGGGGACAAAGAAAGGCAGGGCAAGTCCTTGGTGTGTCAGCCAGCCTGGAACAGGGGGATTTACTACTCCCAGAACCTTGCACTGGTGCTGAGCTTAGCTTGATTAGTGCCTGGAGGCATAGGGCTCAAAACAGGTCTGCTTCGACTTTACATTGAACTTGATTTCTACCTAAGGGTCAACAACTTAGGAGTATCCTCTCCCTGCTCCCAAAGGGTGCCAACAAGTTTGCTTTTTTCCCCACCAGGATCAGCCAAGAGATGCTTCTTGAGGTAGCCCATGGCCAAGCCTCCCCCTGCAGCCTCACTTTTGGTCAATATGCCTGTGCACAGGTAATGGCAATCCCCTTCTTTTCATGGGTTAGTGTGGTTAGTTCTCCTTTGCAGTAGTGCTATTTTGGGCTTAAAAGCAGTTTCACTGTTGGCTGTGCAGTGGCCAAAGCCTTGTCAAGGTTTCCCTTGCAAGATGGAGAGAATGGATGAGGTCAAACACTCAGGGACCATCCAGCTGTGGCAGTGCCACCTTCCCAGGCAACACGTGCTCCACATCATGAGGCTCAGGAGTGGAGAGCTTTCTGGGGCTGTGTGTGGAAATGAGAGATGCTTTTCGAAACCTCTAGAGTGAGAAGGTGGGCAAAGTTGATTCCAAAACAAATTGGCTCTTAGAAACTGGCCTTGTAGCATTGAAGCAAACCTTTTGCATGAAAGTAACCCTGGTCCATTGGGGTAGACCACAATAAAAAGCAATTGCAGTGTGGAAAATGTCATCTGGAATACTTCAGGTTTACCTCCATGCCTGCTTTTGTCATTATCTCTGAGTTGCTGCCAGTAATTGCGATTGAATTAACAACAATTGTATTTTCCCATTAATGTTTCTAACAAAAAGATGTGGTTTCTTCAAATACTAGTTATGAGGGGATTGTTTGTTTGTTTGTTTCTTTTTCACTGGGAAGTGTTTCTGGAATGAGAACGTTCCCTGTGGAAGTTTCCACTTTGATCAGATGGCTTGTGTTTGGTGGGGAACCATTGTGAATAAAGCTTTCTAAAGCCACCGTTTGCTTGGGGGAGCACAGGTTAGGTAACAGAAGGCTCCAGCATTTGGAACTGGATAAGTTTAGACTTGTTTCAAGCCAGTGTATGTTGGACTTTATCCTGGCTCTTCTGTCAACAGGTTACATCACCTTAATGCTGAATGCAGACCTGAAGGAGGTTGCATACTGTAGCATCTCCAAATATGACACACCTTTTATTGTCTCTGTGTGCATTTCCCTTTTCTCTTTCAGAGTGCTTGGCTCCAGGACCTTCCAGATGATTTCCTTGTATCCTTATATATGTGCCTTGCCCCTAAACCTGCCAGTGCTGTGGATTCAGAACACTCTGTTCTCTTCTTTTCCAAATATGATGCCAAGAAGCTTATAGCTGCTCTCACCATGTTCAGCCAGCGTGTGGGTATCACATATCCAGTATTTGTTCACCTGCAGCATTAATGGCATTAACTAACATTGCCTTATATTTTCACCTTAACATCGCCTTGATGAAGAGGGCACCATTTCAATCAGCAAATCTCCATCAACACCTTTGCAGAGCTCTGTGCTGTTAAAAATAGCTGGGGAGACAGAAGTAATAAGCATGAGTTCACAGAGCATACCTACTGCTACTTGCAGTGATCACACAGGCCTGGGGTTCCAATGGGAGTTACAGGCTGGCTGTACTTGAACTGTGTGGAAGGGTCACTGCCCACAGAGGGGATTCTTGCTTGGGGTGATTCTGTCCATAATGTTCATATTTCTATGGATTTATCTTAATGTTTGTTTAGCAGTCCATATGCACTGAAATTCCTGTGTTCTCTTGCCTTCAGTTTTCTCATGTGCCTCTTTCTTTGGAGTGGAACATGATCTTCATTAATGGCCTATGGGAGAAGATGTTGGAAGTGCCTGACATTGACAGCCCCTCTGTTTTGTCTCAGTGGATCCATGAGGGGCTTCAACCATTCCTGGTCGAACCCAAGGTCTTTGCTTGCCTTCATGCCAAAAACCTGTCTTGTGAGACATTTCAAATGATGTAAGTGCTGAACACAACCATTATTTCAGTCCATGTTGCTGAGATAGGAAAGGGGCCCTTACTGCAGCCTCCCAACAGAGGGGGCTAAACCCTGTAAGCACTGTGAACTGATGGAGGCCCAAGTAGAGTCTCTCAGAAGCTTTGTAACGCATCCACTGACCCTGTAACTGGTCCTCTATGTCAGTCAATGTGTGTGGAATGACCCTGATAGCACTGTGTTTCCAAAGCAGTGCCAGATGATTGTGGGGGCTGTTGGAAAGGGCAGTCACAGAGGTGACTGTGAGCTTCTGTCCCTGCCAGGGGTGGATTTGACTTCAGCTGTGTTTGAGATGTCTGCCTTTCTTATCCATCTTTAGAGTTGCTGCCCTGAATGGCATATATTCTGACCTTCCAGTGGAAGAACAGAGGAATCTTTATGCTGGGATCAAACACTACCTCATCCAGGATGGTAAATGACTTGATTTTCTTTAAGAAACACCAGTATGCCTTAAGTATATTGTCTTTTCCATGGAAACGGGGTGAGAATATGACAGTGATAAGTGGTTATCAGGATCTTTTCCCTGTCTGAAGACTATTAATCCAGGATTTTTATATGCTGACTTACAACCTGTGCAAATGGCATTTACTGCTTTTGCTGTGAAAGAACAGTGCAAGGTTTGGTTCTGAGAGCTGAAGACTGGTGATGAAATGTTTGAAGGGCTGTGAAAGACTGAGGCATCTGTCTTGTCCTGTGTGCATTTGTAATCTGAATGCACAAACACATGGATTTGAGCTTAATGTGTGATCAGAGGCACTTGGCAGCTCCCTGCTGACTGAGTTGTCTGATAAGACTGAAGTCTGTTCTACATTTGGAAGCCCACAGTCTCCCCTGAGTTCCTGCTACAGTGCAAGTCTATTTTTATGCTGTCTGCCTGTTTTGCAGAATCAAGCCAGAAGTGCTACAGTGAAGCCATTCCAGGTCTGAATTCCACTGCTTGGTTTGAAAATTATCTTGGATCCTTTTTGGAGCATGCTACTGTTGGAGACCTGCAGCTTTTTGGTGATGAAGCAACAGTAAGTGCATTGTGGTGATGAAGAACCTGAAGTGTGCAGAGTGCCTGGGTGTTGTCTTCCTGCCCTGACCAAAATCCATGGAGATCCTGCCAGCAGGAACATTTCTCTTGTTTATTTATGGCAAACAGTCACTTCAGTTCATATTTTTCCCCCCATCGTGATTTCTTGTCATGAATTACCTGCACACAGGTTGGTTTCACATAAGTAATTGTGCAGAAAACAAACTGGAGTCAATCAGAGGAGCAGCCTCAAGACTGGACTGACGTCTGGGCCTGGTTTGGTGAATGACTGTACCAGGCCTACATGCGTGAGTGGTGCTGCAGAGGCAGGGCCATGTTCCTAGCAACATTGCCACCTTTGTGCCTTACAGTAGTCAGAGGTTTACCTGCCCTCAGAATGCAAAGATAAAGAAAACAAGGTCCCAGTGTATTACTTGAAACCAAAAGATGGCTCTCCTCACAACTTTAAAGCTGGTGAAAAAGCCTTTATTGCTTGAAGCAAGCTTTGTTCAAACTGTCCCCAAACGATTGTCAGGATTCCAGTATCCACCTAAATTAATTGTGTTTGTTTCCTATGACAATACCAGCTTCAAAGGTTTACCAGGGATCCAGTCAACATACAGATGATCAGCAACCTCACCTTGCTCCGGGAGACAGCTCTGTACTATACCTCACTACTGACCTCTGGATCTGGTTTTCCCTTATCAAGGTACAGGACCTGACCTGATCTTCAACCTGACTTAGTTTAGCATCATACTGTGACTTAGCAAAACCTCCCCAACTGGTGATTTTGATGCCTGCTTCCGTGAAACCTCTAAAGCCTTTTTCTGTTCCTCAAATAATTGGATTGCACTTGATCTTGGGGAGGGCCAGACCACAAGTTCCACATCTTGGGCAATGACTGTCAGGCAGTGCCAGCCACCAGCTAATAGCCTGCAGTGGTTTTGCTGCTTTGCATGACACAGCAGTGCTCTCTGAACAGGAACATCAGAGCTAAAATGGATCAGGGGAGATGTGCACTGGAAACGAGCTTCCTTTGGCAAAAAGGGAAGGTCTGACAGAGCCACTCTCTATCATACTGGCAACTTCCCCTTCTTGTCTCCCACTTTCAGCCTCCCAGACAGACTTGTTTGCTACCTGAGCCCCTCTGCAGTGAGCAACCTGAGCAGAGATGATGCTTTGAGCTTGGCCCAGAGGATCACCAAGAACTGCCCATTGAACCTGACACACAGAGGAATAACCAGAGAGAGAGCTCCCTCCTCCCTGACAACAGAGGAACTGCAGGTAATGTCCTGTCTGGCCCTGCACCTCAGTTCTCCATTCACCTACACAAAACCTGTGAGATTGAGGATTCGTGTACATGCTTGTGTACACTCCTGGAGGTCATCTTGAGGTTGTTATTGTGGCATCTGGCTGGTGTCTCCTAATCTGAAGGTTCCCAGAGGGGAAGGCGGTCCATCAACAGGCTTCATCACACAAGTTTGAGCCAGAAAGTAGTGCCTTAGGACATCCAAAGTTTGTAGCATTGCTTCTCTGACTTTCTTCTCTGTCTATGTGGGGACTTTTCAGGTTGCATCCTCTCTGGTGGGAAAGTTTGAGCACTTCCCTCCTGAAGTCCTGCGTGGATTGGGCCAGGCTGCAGTTGGGCTGTCCATATCCATCCTGGAAAACCGCATCAGGGATGAAGACCTTGAAGCATCTATTCCTGCCCTGGGTAAAGTTCGTGGCTGGAATGCTGAGCAGTCCAGCACCATTATCAACAAACTGCTTCTCTCTGGCTATCAGGTACAAAGGATAAGGTCCACAAATGCTCCTCACACCTGGTAGAGGTAGCTGCCAGCAAATGAGGTTTGGTGCTTCAGGTACTCATGCCTGCATGTATCCCCTTTCAGATCCCAGATGGACAGAGCCTGGCAAAGCTGGGGAGCTTGGTGGCTGGCCTCAACAGCAGCACGCTTCGAAGCTTGCCTTCAGAAGTGATCTTGGAAGCCATCAAGTTGCCTGAGTTTGTTGAGCAGATGCTGCCCCTGCCCCCTGCTCTGAAAATGGCATTTGTGGAAAAGGTGAAGTCACTTTTCTCTTCAGGCATCAGAAATGAGCAAAGCTCCAGTGACTCACAGCCAGGAACAGCAGTTACCTGGGGCCAGGCACTGACACACACCCAGACAGCATTCCCTTGGGGTGTTTGTCATTGCTAAACAGAGTGTGCAGCAGGACAAGCCTCTCAAGTCCCTATCAGTGTGCCTGTGTCACGTCTTTGGCTGCCAGCCAGGGTGTCCTGCCCAGCCTCTTGGAGACAAGGGCAAAAAGGACAGTTGCTTTATGGGGTAATCCCATAAACTGCTCCCCACTGACTTGCAAAAGATGCTCTCAGAGACAGGATATTGCCATGGTTTGGAGTAAGAACCTGTGAGAAGTGATGGTGGTTTAGAAAGTCCCTTTTAGAGTAGACTGATCTTTCAGCAATGCACTGTTTCATCCCCCATGCGATCCTGTAGGATGTAGAAACCCCTTTGCCTTTCATCTCACCATGACTTTACCCTTCAAGTTGCATGTTTAGCATTTAAGTTTGTTGTTACTCATCCTCCCTCTGGTAGGAAAGACTCTGAGCTGTGTTTGGCACCAGAGGCCCTGCTTATGGCATGTTCTGGGGCAACGATGCAGTGTGAAGCAGTAGGGAAATAACATCTCATTCACTAAAAGATTGTTCTGTAATGTGCCTTCCCAAGTTGAGACATAGTTTGCATTGGCAGAGAAGACAGGTATGTTCCTCCTTTTTGGCCTGTTAAACATTTTTAAGGCATAAAGCCAGGCAGTGGGAAACTGATAAGAGAGAGATTGTTCCCATTCATCGGGACTCCAGGTATTAGCTCAAGCAGCTCTCCTGATCTGATGAATTATGTCAAACAGGAAATATTTCACAGTATTGGGTCTCAGAAATGGCCAGATGATCAGCAGGGGAATGTGCCTGGCTGCTTTCCAGTTTGTCACTTCTTTGCCAGCAACTGTTTAATTTAGCCACAGTGTTTGTATGATCCATCTTGGTTTGGTTTTCTTTTTGAAGCTTTCCTCCAGTGTCCACCACCCAGCTGACCTGGTTAAATATGTCCCTGATGCTCTGGCCAGTTACATTCCAAAATCATTGCTTGTTTTTGGGGAGGAGAAGCCCAATATTCAAGATCTCAACAGTAAAACATGGACCAGAGAACAGGTAATATGCTGGAGGCTTGTCCCCTCCTTACCCATCAGTGTCAGCCTTGGGCTCTGCAGAGCTGTGAGTCTGCAAACCTGCCTGCGAGTACAGGTGAATGTTGCAGAGGAACATGGCGAACCATTGACACTCTGCTTTGCTTCACAGGCTGCCGTGTTTTTCAGTGATGTGATAAAGACAGAGCCTGACTTCAGCAGGTACTGTTTTAGTTCCTCTTTTCCCCCTGTTTTTGTTTGCTTTCATTGCAATTTCCATGTTTCCTTTGGTACATTTGGTACCATCATACTCAATCCCTAACGACAGATGGGAAATATCATGCAAACCTAAACACAGGCACATGGCATCGAGATTTACCAGGGTGTCAGCTGCAAAATGTACCCGTAAGCCACGCTTGCTTTCTGAAATGATGCTGCTGGCTCAGACTGCATCTGGAACCTTGCTCTGACTGCCTTGGGGAAGGCATTTCTCATGGATCAGCCTTCCACAGTGCTATTCCAGAGATTAAATTCAGTGAGGCTGGTTTATGTCCTTTGTCAGCTCTTGTGTCTGAGATGAAAAATGATGAAAACTGTTATGTACATCTACAAAAACAGTGGAGTCAACACCAGGACACCCTGCTGATTTCATGAAGCTTTTCCATGTAGAAAACAATGAAAGTTTTAAGGGCTTCTCCCTAAGCCCTCCCAGACTGCAAACTCTTCAGTGATGAGGATCAACACAGCTCCACTTCACTTTCAGTGTGTGGCATGGACTGAGAACACAGTGGGGAGTGTGATCCTGTATTGGGGATACATTGATACTGCCTGGGATGGGGAGTTTGTCCCTGCATTTCCACTTCCACTGTGAGTCTCTGGATGATGTTTATGTGACCGGTGATGTCTTCTTCATCTCCCACACAGATCAAGCCTAACAATTTTGAGGGGATGGAGTTTGGAGAGCATTAAGCTTTGGGATTGTGGGAGGCTTGTGGTTGCTGTATTTATCCTTGCCCTTCTGATCTGCCTTCTGTAAATGTTCAGGCTTTCCCAGTCAGTCCTCCAAGGCTTCACGTGTGCAGCTGCCAATGAGGTGGGAGAAGAAAGGTTTCAGGAGCTGGCTAAAGTCATGAAGAAGAAAAATGTCAAGCTAGGAGAAGACCAGGTCAGTGCCTGTGTTTCAGGATGCCATGTTTGATGTTGTCATGCAGGTAGCAATGAGGATTGTTCAGCAAGAACAAATACACTTTGAGCTTAAGGGACTGGACCAGATGGAACTGGTCCTTGGTCTCCATCCCACACTTCTAAATTTCCCTGAAGAGAGAAGTCAAACCCCAGTTGGTTTCTCAGGAACCAAACCCTCTGATTTCTGTCCTTGGAGCAGAGTAAAACCTTTACACTGTTTTATATCTTCATGCTGGTTTCTTCCTTTGATATGAACTGTGTTGTCGTTCCAGCTGAATTGCTTAGTGAAGATGGTGACTCTGCATGGGATTCCTGAGGATTTAGATAGCTATCCCAAAGACCTCTTGCTATTTCTAAGGTAACTGCTATGGTTTTTGTTGTTGCCTTGGTACTTAGTGGGGAAAAGGAGGTATTAGTTTATAGCCGAGCTGGTAATGACTATTTCATATCTGATATATATTTCAAACTTGTCCAGGCCTCCTTACAGGGGGTAAAATCAGGTTGCAGTAAGCTTTCAAATGGGTTTTAAGGTCTTTTCAGACTCAGCCATGCCATCATATTAATAGAAACAGTATGAAACTCTTTTAAAGTATGTCTGGATATGAAATCAGTGTGCAGTTCTTTGTGGCCTATGTGAATGTGCCTTTCACTTACAACATCAAAGAAAACAACAGAGTGGATTTCTCTTTTCCAGTAGCCACCCACTGTGGTTCTGTATCCAAAACTTGAACAATTTTGAGATGAGTTTCACAATAGATTCCTTGAGGTGAAACTGGATTTTTGCAATATGTGGATTGGGAACTTTGGGAAGAGCAATTCATAGAGTTTAGTCTGCAAATGTGGAAGAAGTTACACTGGACACAGTCTTATGTTGAACAGCCTTGAGCCTGACCAGCTCTTTGCTACCATTCACTACCATTCATAGTGTATTTATCTTTCTAGTCCCTCAGACTATGCAGCGACAGGAAGCTGCAGGCAGTACTTTGCTAATATTGGGGAAGCAAACCTGGATCTTCTGCAGAGAGAGTCACCCCAGCGGAAACAACTGCTCCTGGAAGCTTTAGCATGTTTGGTACGTGATCAGGGAGCAAGCCTGGGGAGAGCTTGGGGTTCTCAGCTGGCAGCAGAAACAAGAATGCTCTTCTACAGTGGCAGCCAGTTGTGTTCAGTGCCTCTGTCTTGTGTTATTTCAGAGAATTCCTGGCACGCAAGTAACTGAGGAAAATGCAGAGGTTCTGGGACGTCTGGTCTGTGACCTGGGTGGAGAATACATTACAAGTTCTGGTGGGAATCTGCTGAAGCAGTTAAGCAAGTGTGACTCTTTCCTGCCTGACCAAGAAGAGGCCATTAGGAGCATCATCAGCAGTGGTAACACTACGTTTGGGTATGCGCTTTTCTTTTGGCATCAGCAAAACAGTTCCCTTAAAACCATTGACCTGGTAAGACCTGGGTGAACTCCAGCCAACCAGCTGGATCAGAAACTGGAATAATCCCTTGCTTTTGACTTTCACACTGCGTCTTTTACATTGGTTTATTTTGATTTCTTTCAGCTGAAAGGTTTGGCTGGAATTCCGCTGATTTCACCTCTGTTTTACCTGCGCTAGTTATAAAAGCCTTTCCTTTGGTCTGATTTTCATCCCTGCCCATGGCAGGGTGTTGGAACTGGATGATCTTAAGGTTCTTTCAAACCCAAACCATTCTATGATTAACCAAATTTCCCCAAGGCTGTCCTGATGGACACAGGTGGCCCTGGCTGTTTGTTAGCCACGGGCTTTCAGAAAGCATCTGTTTCTGCCTGTTGAACTGACAGATGCTTGGTAAATCCCAGGCTGTATCTAACAGAGACATGCTCTAGGGAGCCAAATATCTTCCCTTCCTGTGTTAGATGTGCTGAGATCTTGGCACTGAATTGGGCAATAGTGAGTGATAGACATTCTTTGGTTTTCATGCTTAAGAAAACAATGTATTTGTTCAATGCCGTTTTCTCATCCAGCTGCCCATGTTCATGTTCCTGTCAGTTGCTCCTGCTCTGCTGGAATGAAGTTGTGTGTAACAGAAAGTGATTGAGATGTCTTAGGATTTAAATCTTCTCAAGTACAAATGCTACAAGGGCATAATCCTGGCAGCCTTTAAGGTGGGGTTTTTCCCTGCTTTGGCTCTTCCTTGAAAGCTAATCCCTGTTAATTCTTGTATGCAGGCCTCCTGCAGCATGGTCAGCTTTCACCTTGAATGAGCTCAGTGGGTTGATTCCTGTATTGGATCACAGCATCTTGCAGCAGATCCCCAAGGTGGGTTATTCATAGAGGGTCCTGCAGTATGGAAGGAATATGGGGGTTGTTCAGCCTGTACGTTTTCAGTAGTGTCTTATTTAACAGTGTGGTACCAAAGGGGATTAGCAGCCTGGAACTGCAAATCTAGATCACGGCCATCCTCTTCCTGTAACTGCTGAAAGAGGGCCAGAGGTGGAAAGCAGTAATAACTGTATACAGTACTTTGCAAGGGGGTAGATTCATTTATGGGCTGTGGGATATGAGTCTAAGCATTTAGAAAGTTGCCTTTGACTTCCAAAGGAATGATCTCTAGCAGCAGGTCTGCTGCCCATAATACCTTATGAATGTTTATTGTCTGTGTGAGTAGCAACTTGTTATGTTGGTGGAACACCCAGGGTTGCAATAACCCCCTGATGAAACATCTTCCTTGCAGAATGCTTTAACTGTTTGGCTGAAAAACTTTGCACATGATTCACCTCTGTCAAGGGAAGAGCTGGCCACTGTTGTTGAAGAACTCCTGCCTACCAGGCATAAGCGTGCTGATGGTATGAGAGCTCTCTCTGATCTATTCCCCTGGTGTCAGGGTTGACCCTAGTGCTTGTGGGTGTCCCTACATGTGACTGGGTTGAACTATGAAATACTGGGTGGCAGGTCACCCAGGAGGAGGGTGGTGCCAGGATTGCATACCTGTCCCTCTCCACAAGGGAGCATTCAAAGCTTTGAAGCGCAAGGATTTAACACTGAGCACAGTTGGTGGTTGCTTCAACAGGTTGCCCATCTGGGAAGCAGATAACAGAGACCGTTCTTGAAGATGACTTGATGCCCCTTAGCTACACACCTGAGGAGTTACGTGCTTGCCTGAAGAATGTCTCTCTGGAGAATCATCTCTCTCAGATGCTGACCTATGCCTTCAGTGTTCAGCAGTTGGCTGTGCTGAAGGAGCATCTGGATGAGGTAATGCCAGGCTGAAGAAGGTCCATTTATCTCCTGATTAGATTGCTCAGGGGCTTGTCCACTTGAACTTAAGTATCTCCAAGGGTAGAGACTCTACCATGTGTCTGGGCTCCTCTTTTGATGTTTGTCCATCTTTACTGCAAAAATATGTGTTTCTTAGTATCTAATCAGGCTTTTCATTGCCTGTTGGTCCTTCTCCTTTCACTGTGCACCTCTGAGTGTGGCTCCATCCTCACTATAATCTCCTAGTAGATAATTGAAGACAGTAATAAAATCCTTGCCTAATCTCTTCTTCAGACTAAAACTCCCACCTCCCTCAGTCCCACTGCCCCCCATCCAGCATTGCTCTCTGCTAGACTTGCTGGTCTTTCCTATACTTTGGCAGAGTCCTTTTTGTGTCAGGGAGCCCAGAATTGGATGTAGTATCCAGAGGGGCTCTCATAAGTGCCAGCCAAGTGGAGGAGAATAATCATTTTCCTCCCAGTATTTGATTAGCCTTCACCACTGCCCACTCAGATCTGTGTTGAGCCAGTTCACAGTGCTTCAGGTTTGGTCCTTCCCCCAGGACCTGCTTGCTTGAGCTGTGAAGCAGAAAAAGGACAGATGTGTTCATGCGACTTCACTGGCTTTGGCTTCTTATTCCTTGCAGACCTTTTGGGCTTTTCCATGTTAATTTTGTGGAGCATAAATTCATAAACACAGGCATGATCATGAGTGTTCGTAGCAATAACAGCAGTCTTTCCACAGACGTATCCTGATGGGTATCCTGAAAGTCTGCTCCACAGACTGGGCTCTCTCATTTCTTTCGTCACCCCTGAGGATGTTTCCAGGTGGAAGATATCTTCAGCTGACACACTGGCTGCCTTGCTCAGAAATGAGCCCCTTGATGATCAGGTAGGAATTTTGGTTTGCTTTACTGCCTATGTTTGCTCCCTGGTTTGGGAGCTGCTTGCTTTAGTGGGCTCAAAGGTGATTGCCCCTTCCCTGAGGGGCAATCTAATAGATTGTAAGTGATTTGGTTTTATTATTGTAATTATTGCATTTCTTTTTTCTTTTGGGGTTGAAACCAAGTTAAAATCAAATGTGTTTTTAGGCTTCTGTAATAATCAGACGATACATTGACCTGGGAAACCCCTTGAATGTCACTGCTCTGAATGCAATTGGTACCAGATACATGTGCCTGCTAAATGAAACTGAGCTGAAGATGATAGACTCCAACAGCTTGAAGTAAGTGAAATACTGTGATGCTCTTATCTTCATGCAAAAGCATTTTCCCCTCAGCAAGTGCTTTTTCGTTTTCACTTGGTGAAAGGAAATCTAGGAAGCAACTTAGTACCTGCTCTGTGTGTGCTGTTCCCCATCCTGCCAGGAAGGGCTCCGATTTGTGATCAAGTTCTCTTTATTGCAGCTCACCTGACAAAAGATATGGTCTGCATGCGTGCTTTTGTCTAGACTCAAAAGAGAGTTAATGAAATGGAATTTAAAGTCATTTGAAAGACTGTAAATGAAATTAACTACATCTTTGCAAACACATAAAACTTATGCACCACCAGAACCATCATAACTTAGAAGACACATCATTTTGAGCAGGAGGCTAAGACATTATGTTTTTTTCTTAGCTTCTGTCCATACCTCTTCTATCTACTGGGAATAGGGAGTCACCTTTCCTATACAGAGAATCTGAGAGAGTTACTCAGAATACTTAAAAATGGACACAAGTTGAAGTTTTTTCTTCCTAAATCATCTTTGTTTTGCAGACTGGCATCTCTGAATCTCTCAGCCTGTTCAGAACGCACAAAAGAGATCTTGTATGCTAAAGCAAAAAGTGCTTTCTCAAACCAGCGACGTTCACCTGCTTACTATCAGCTTATTGAACCGTATCTAGGTATGTGAAAGAGAAGTATGTTACAGGAAAAGAGAGAGGTCTTAGCCAGAAGCTGTATGAATCTAATGCATCCAAGATTAGGGAATTTTCAAAGCCAACTTTAGAAGTTTCAGTCCTTTCCAGCATGTAGATGGTGTAAAATACTCTTGAAAGATTCTCTACCTGACTTAAAGTCACCCAAATCAATTGTCAGACTATCCCAGTCAAACCCTACATCAAACTCATGACTTCTGGGATGGGTAAGATCTGCTTACATCCATGAGAAATCAAGCTGCTGATGCCGTTCTCCGTATCACAAACTATACTCTGCCCTGTTAAGCCAAGAATTTATTCACAGCCTGAGCAAACTGTCCTTGCCCTTCTGCCTAGCATCTGGCATTGTCACAGATGGGTTTAATGGCCAACACAATAATACCCCCAGCAAAATGAAGTAGCATCCATATATTTTACAGTTGGGATTCACTCTCTTAGCAGGCCCAGCCTAATAAATTCTGGAGCCATGCTCATAATTCATGTTACACACATTGCTTGTGTGATGCTGTCCTCCATGCTCTGATCTACTTTCTTTCTGGTCCCAGGGGGTGCTCCTGCTGCAGATATCAAAGCTCTAAGCAAGGACAACGTGAACATGAACATTAGTACTTTTATGAAGCTAAGAAGAGACTCTTTGATGGTGAGCTGAACCTTGAAATTTTTTAGCTCCTTGCATTTGTATTGTGCCAAGCAGCTGATTTTGGTTGTGTTTGTCCATTGGGGTAAATCAGGAGGCACTCCATCAAATTCATCCCCTGCCTAAGGGAAGATTGTCCCGGTTGAAACCACTCGCCACATATTGGTCTTCCTAGTTCTTCACATTGCTAATAGAAACCCCATCTGGCTCTTGGTCAGAGCTATTATTTCCATTCCTGCTTTATACCTCTAATTCTTGCTTTTTGATTCCTCCTAGAGCCTGACTCCTTTGGAGGTTGAGGGCTTGCTGGGGATGCATCTTGGTGATCTGAACAAATGGCAGACGACCTCTCCCATCCGGGAGTGGGTCCAGAGGCAGAAACAATCCGAACTGGATAAACTGCATGTTGGGCTCACTGGGGGAACACAAGAAGGCTACATCAACCTTGTCACACCCAAATTTCAGTGTAGGTATTATGGTAGAGCCTCTAAGTGTTGTGCTATTAGGGGTGGCTATTTCCTATAGTTAGAAAGCCAAAGATCTTCCCTGGATGGGGCATGAAGACATGTTTTTTGCCATGGGGGAATGGTTCAGTCATTGATTTCTTTGCACTAATGCCCCTCTTCTTCCTCTAGCACCATCCTCAGCCTCTCTGGGTACTGTGGCCACGACATTCCACCTCCTGCCTGCTCTGCTTACCAGTTTCCTGATCATGTGGGTCTTCTCTTGAAAGTCTCCCCTCGAAAGCAAGATGAGGAATACCAGCCTATGACCTGCTCTGAGGCCTGTTGGGACAGCCATGCCTGGGGGGTGAGGGGGTGTTCAGTGCTAGCAGGCAACTTCTGCAGCCCAGGGTTCACTTTTAGGTACTTTTGTCTTTCAAATCACTTGAAAAGAACAGTGTTGTGTCTGAAGGGAACACTTCAGACTCTTCAGAACAGGATCTTTGCCTTTTGTGCACACCAAGCCCAGGTAAGCCCCAGCCATAATGCCACGACACAAATGATGTCAGTATCTTACTGCACAACCCTGGTGGGTTTAAGGGTGAGCAAATTGGCTGCTCTGAGCAATGTAATTGTTAACGTGCAAAGAGCCTCCTCCCTTACCACTGCCAAGACCTCTGAGTGGGAGTGAAGTTTTCCAGCTGATTGTAAATAAATAATGGAAGTAAGTAAAACATGCCAGAAGCAAACAGATGAGTTGCTGCTGTCTTCTCTTCATTCAGACTCCCTGCACCTTTGTATCTGCAGAGACTGGTCCAAATGGCCAGGAACCCCAGACATGCCTGTTACTTTTCTTTGGTGTTGACTACTCAACCCTCAGGAGGTGAGGCTGTTCTCAGCGTCCTCACTGGGAGGGGAGAAGAGCTTTGTGTAAGGTTTTTCTATGCTTTTTTTTCCTATCACTCATTGGGAGTTTCTGTCCAGAAAAGCCTCAGTGCAGCCAGTATCCCCCCTGAAATCCCACTTTTCCCCCAGGAGGAGGACCTGCCTGCAAAGACAAAATAAATGGTTGAGGAGAAGCTTGTTTGTCCTTCACTGCAGGTCTCTGGGTTGCAAGAGCCACTTCCCACTGCCTGCATTCCGTGGTGCTGGGCACTAGGTCGGGTCGGGGAGAGCTTGGTGTAAGAAACACTCTGTGTTTGTAACAGCATTGATGCCGTGATGGAAACCTTGAGTTGTTTCTCTGTGCTTTGAGTCACTCTCAACACAGGCTGTGCAAGGATCTCCTCAGCCCAAGGAGAATGAAAATATTGAATGGAAGGTCTGCATGTTGGAGAGAGAAACACGCTCTTGTAGAAGAGCTGTTGGAGGAGGAGACACTAAGATAACGAAGAAAGTCAGAGCAAGAGAAGTGGAAACTGTTCAGATTTAAGCTAAGTAGAAAAACTACACCACAAAGCACTGAACACATGGAAGAACATACTGGCTTAGGGGGAAAAAAAGGGTTGATGTTTTATTATATAGCATTGAATCAAGTAATCAAGAAACTGTCTTCAGTTACTCATCCCTCAAAGCAGAGTTTGTGTGGTTTGAACAAATCCTGGTCAAAACATCTCAGGATTTCATGAAACAAGATAAATACCTTTTAGTGGATTGTTGCTAGGCCATATTCTGCTTCCTTTGCAATGGCCAGTAACTCAAATCCCTGAGTTGTCCCACTGTTCCAACAGAGCCCAGTGGACTGCTTAGAAGTAAAATACTACTCAGTGCCAGTAAAGCTGGTGGAACTGGGCCTGCTGTCAGCACTACTGCATTGTCAGACCAGTCGGTATTGCTGGTGATTGTGTTACACAGAACAACTAGCTAGTAAGTACCCGTTGGGCTGCTTTGGGCTGGAGAAATGTCCTCCATTCGCTGCCCAGCCTCAAAATAATAAGCAAATTCTGTGCTGGTATCCAAAGGACAAAATTCCTTTCCTGGGATTCTGCTTTCCAGCAGGGAATTTGCCAGCACTGTTGTGTGGTGGGATGGTGAGTATTAAAGGAGGGATCCTGTGAGCGTGGTGCTGGAGGTGGCAGTGTCAGAGAAGCCGTTGCAGCAGGGAGCTTCCCACGGCGGTAGTCAGCACATACACTAGGCAAGAGGAGAGCCTGGATCCTGATCCTAGGTGGAGGACAAAGAAAGAATTGGATTATCCAGGTAAATGGCACATGTGTGCTATGGGGGCTTTGGGATTCAGGTACCCCAGAGCCAGGACAGTGTTTTAGTGACATTGCCCTTACCCATGCCTCAGGCACTGACCTTCACCCCAGCTATAAATGTCAGCTGGGTGTGAGTAGTCAGCAGGACTGAGTCTGTCTTACTTTCACCAGTGTAAAGCAGGAGTAAATCTGAGTCATTCAAGCTACTCAGAAACAACAAGGCCACATCCTTGCCTAGTGCACAGTAGCCCAGTGCATTGGCATCAATGCACTCCAGCTTTCTGTTGAGCACTTTAGGGAAGGTGATGAGCCACTTTAAGGTGCACCTTGCCAGACCTGAGGCTTGGAGGCAGCCAGCTCCAGGGCTGTAATGCCCTATGGAGATGTGACTATTTGTCTAGCCAGGGTTCCTTGTGGACAGCAGCACACCAGTATTAAACCTGGCCAGGAACAAGCTGAATCAGCTCCTGCTTGTCAATAAAGACTTCTGCCTGGCCACCAGATCCTAAGCCTTTCCCAGCTCCAAACCTTCATGCCTTACCAGGTTCAGGTTTCATGTTGATGTATCCGTCGGGTGTCGGTCTCGGTGACCCTGGCCCACCTGCGGGTGTTGTTTTAACAGTGTCATTACTGGTGGTGTTGGAAGAGGAGCTGGGAGATGCTGTGGGACCATTGGTCTTGCAAGCTGGTGCTGTTGTCTTGGTCGTTGAGGAGGTGGAGATGGTGGAGTTGGGAATCAGGGTGGGCTTATGGGGAGGGAGGCTTAGTTCTATGCCAGTGGGTGCAGAGGTGGAGTTAGCGACAAGGATGCTGGGAACATTGTGGGTGCTTGGGGTGGCGGTGCTACCGGTAACAGGACTGGGATGGGGGGTGCCCCCTAATGCTGGGGGGTTCATGGACACCAGTGGGGTGCTGGTGCTGGGGTTAGTGACAACACCAGTGCTGGTGGTGGCCCGCAGGGTGAGAGCAGGGGGTGGGATGGAGCTGGGAGAGGTGGTGTTGGGGTTGACAATGGCAAGGATGGTGGTGAGGAGGGTGGGGGCAGGCTGGTGGCTGGAGCATGGCACAGCAGGGCTGGTGGTCAGAGCAGGGCGGGCAGTGGGGGTGGCACCAGGGGCAGGGGTTGGGGTGGTGGCACTTGGGGTGGGCGCCTTGCTGGTACTTGAGTTAGTGAGAGGGTGGCTGCTAATGGCAATAGCGGTGGGGACAGTGGCTATAGGGGTGATACCAGCCAAGGTGGTGGGGTGAGGAGGGGTGGCTGTCCCTGTGGGGCTGGGCTCCTCCAGCCCCCCTGTGAGGCCGATTCCCAGGACACAGTCCAGTTCCCTCTGGGACTGTCTCTTCACCCAGAGCATCACCAAGGTCTCGTTTTCAGCTGCCTTCAGCTGAGGGAGGTTTTGCCCAAGCAGATTCTTCACATCCGTGACGCTGAGGTTCTGCAATGTACAGCATCGTCACTGCTCATCCTCACCTTTCCTGCTCTGCAGCACGGAAAAGAGGGACAGTGCTCCAGGGATCTACCTGCAGCGCTTTGGGATTCAGGGCAAGGAAGGTGTTGATGTCCATGTCTATGGCAATGCCGGCTGCAGCCAAGTCTTTCAGGTCCTTTGCTGGAGCTCCACCTTAAAGAAAGCACATGGGGCACCTAGAAACATGCAAACACTCCTAAAGCTTTTGGAGAGGCTAAACCCCAATGGCTAAGCAAGAGACACCCAACCTCAGGAAGGAGGATGAAGGCTCAAACACCTACTCAGGTATGGCCAAATCCTGCAGTAATAGGCCTTGGGGGTGCCAACCAGGTCAGCAAAGGCCTCCTGGGCTTTTCTGTAGAGTTGGTCCTTCTTGGTTTGAGAGCAGGAAGAGATGCTCAGTTGTCCAGCAGTCCTGGGGAAGGGATGGGCATAGCTTAGAGCCAGCAGTAAGGCCCTAAATCACAGCTAAATCCCTTTAGTTGGCTGGAGGAGACGAGTGGTGTGTCCCTGCTTGTGGTGCTGGCGGCTTGAGCAGGAGTTGAAGCAGGACGTGGCCATCCCACCTGTATGGAAGGTGGGGGTCTGCCATCCCACTGCCTGCTTCCACCATGATCCCAGGGCTCTCACAGGGCTGAAAAACATCCCCTACCACTGGCTTACCTGATGGCTTCTGGAGGTATCTGCTGGATCTGCTTCTCCTGCAGACTACACAGGAGTTGTCCCCCGATTTGCTGAAGCAAAGGGCCAGTCAAGATGCCCCCCAGGGACAGGAACCTGCTGAGGAGCTGCTGGATCTGGGAAACACAGTTCAGGAGGGAAGGAAAATGCTCCTGATGGAATCGTGTGTGTTACAAACCCACCACGCTGGGCTTGGGCACTGAGCAGTCCTGATACGGGTTCCCCAGGGCCCACCCCTGCTGCTGCCATGGGTTTACCTGACGCATCTTCCACATCCCATCCGAGGGGTTGAGCAGGACTGAGAGCGTGTCGCTGGATGTCACCAGCCACCGGCTGATCTCCTCGGGCGAGTACTGCCGGGACAGCGGTCCCAGCAGCTTCAGCTGCTCCTCCGGGATGCCTGAGGGGTAGATCTGTGGGGCCAGGCCAGTGGGGCAGAGAACAGGGTCAGGGAAGGGAAAAGGAGGAGGAAATGGATGCAAAAGCCCCGTTCGGGCGCCTTCATCCCCGCGCTAGTGATGCGGTTCCCGCAGCAGGGCTTGCCCACACTATCGGGGGCTCCTGCCCTGTGTCACCATCACCTGATCCAGCTTCTTCTTCACGACCTGGAGGTAGGCTGTGGGGAATGGCTGCTCCAGCAGAAGCTTCAGGTTTTCCTTCAGAACCTCGTTGCTCAGGCACAGGTCGAACTGCTCACTGGTGTCATAGTCGATGATTAAGAAGGGGTCAGTGATGGTGCTGGCGGTGATGGGCTCAGAAAGGCAGCCTGTGGGCAGCGAGAGTGCATCAGGCTGATGTTTCCCTGCTTCCTGCCTGGCCCTGGTCCTGCAGAGCCCTTGGAAGAGCTCCAGTGAATGAACACGGAATTCCCTGCAACTCATCCTCCCATCCTGAGTCCCCAGCCCATGTAGATGCCTATTTGCTTTTGTTCCTCAGTGTTATTCCGTGTGCTTTGTTCTATTGAAGGCAACTAAAGATGCACAGGTGAGGTGAACCCTTTCCTATGTCATGCACAAGGAGTATCCTCCGGCCTTGTAGCATCCTGCTGCTACCCCTGCTTGGGAGTTTTCCCCCTGATCCAGCTCCTCCCCAGCTGCTGCTGCTATATTCCTTCTCCCAGGTAAGGGCAAACCCCACATTGTGTTGTCCCATCTCCCCAGCTGCTTTATGGGAATCCCACAGCTTTCAGCCTGGTCCCATCCCCTCCCTGGGGCCACTTTTCCCTTTCAAGAGCAAAGGGAAACGCTCACGGTCTGCGCTCCGCCTCATCCTGGGATGGGATGAATCCGATGCTGCTGCGAAGGCCCTGAGCAGAGTCAGGGACTTCTCCCGCTGGGAACGTCCCTGTTTGCCGAACGCAGCCGCGATGCTCCTGCCGAACGCCTCCCGCGCTGCCTGCCGGGGGGCAGAGGGTGCTGGTCCCACAGCCCCAGCACTGAGCTGCCTGATGGGCAGCTTGCCCTAGGGTCCCAAGGAGGGGTCTTACCTCGGGCACCGAGCTCAGCGTGGTCTGGTTCAGAGCCAGCGCCAGCGGGCCCAGGTTCTGCAGAGTCCGTAGATCCCAGCTCGAAGGATGCCTGTGGCCATGGGGAGAAGGAGCAGCTCAGCATCCTCATGGACGCTCCACCCCGGTGCTCATCACCCAAGCCTGTAAGAGCACGTGAAGGCTCCTCACCCATACGCTGTGTCCCCACGGAGGAGCAAGGCATTGAGAGCATCCCGTTGGGCCCCTGTCAGCGCTGAGCACAGCTTCAGGTTCTCCAGGATGCTGGGATCGGAGGCTGTGATGGTCTCTGGCTCCATGTCACAAACCAGGGCCCCGAGGCCGCTGAGCTGCTCTGGGTGCAGGCGCCTGCTCTTCACCCCCTGCGAGAGACAAAGAGCCCCTTGTACCAATGCCTGGTGAGGGGGCAGGCCCCTGACACCCCTGGCTTGTCCCAACTCACCAGGCAGGCCAGAGCCCCATGGAGCAGCCCCAAGCGCTGTGCTGAGCCCCTGGGAAGCAGCTCCAGGTTCCCATGGGAAGCTTGGGCATAAAACGCTTCACAGGTCCCATCATGAACCTCGGACAAGCTGTGGGGAGCAAGAGTCAGTGCTGGGGCGGGGAGGAATGGGGCGAAGGGCTCCTCTTGTCCAGGTGGGAGCTCTTCAGACAGAGGGGGTTGGAACTGGATGATCCTAGGGTCCTTTCCAACCCAAACCGTTCCATGATTCTAATGTTGCTTTTGGAGTCAGTTTTACACTGGTGCTCCATTCAGAGCCATGAGGTGCTGAGTGGCACAGGGCCAGAGGGTCCTTCTTGTGCTGGGGAGTATGTCTGGAGGGGGTTTCTCAACCCCATACACCCCATGCTATGGGCTGTGCAGCCCCAACCTCGGTGAGGAGAGGAGTGGGGGTGTTTGCAGGGCTGGAAGTGCCCCGCAAGGATCTGATGCAGGAGATTCCTGTCGTGCTCCTCTCCCACACACAGCTCCCACGTGCCCCAGGGTCCGAAACCAGGACACGGGGCCCCGCTGGATGCCGTGAGGTGGCACCAGCCCTGTGCCGCCCTCGATACTCACTCAAAGAAGAGCAGCAGGTCTGGCGGGTACCTGCTGAAATCAGCCGTCAGGTTCCTGGCAGCGAGCAGCCTGGCCAGGCAGGAGAGCTGGCAGAGACAGCCAATGCCTTGTCAGTGCCAGCGTGGTGGGACCCCCTTTGCCCCGGCTCCCCATTGGGATCCATGGGGTTCACAGCCCACCCCTTCTGCCCCTGCTCACCTGGGCACCGCTCAGCTCCGCTGTTCTGTTCTGCAGCCCCTCGGCAAAGGCGAGGATGGTGGCAGCAGGGAGGTCATTGTCCGGGATGCATGGAAAACCTTGCAGGAGCGAGGCTGAGAGGCTGCGTTGGAGGGACACGGTTCCATTCACCATCCACTTTGGCTCCCAATGCCCCATAGAGGATGAACCCGCTCACTCCCATGGGAATTCCCCCTTCACCCTGACCACTGCGTGATGTAAGTAGGAATAGCTTGGGGTGTAATGAAAACAGCCCCTAAAGCCAGCGTTGGGTGGTGCCAAGGGGGATGCCCTGCAGGAGCGAGGCTGCCCATCCCCATGGCTGGATGAGAGAGGAGCCAGCAGAGCAGTGATCTGGGGGAGGCTCCTGTTGTGTCTGCGTCAGTCCCACAAGGAAAGGGATCTCTCGGTGTGTTTGTGCTACAACAAGAGCTCAGATCCCAGCCCAGAACCGGCTGTGCGAGGCTGTAAATCTCTGCAGCACGAGTGACCTGGCACAGCGGCTGTGGCAGCCATGGGGGAGTAACTCAGCATCCCCCCTGCCAGCCCCACTGCCTGTGCCCCCATAGGTCATACCACCCCCTGCTGCGGCTGGTACTCACTCTGTGTGCTGCTCAGGGGCACACAGGACGGCTCCGATGATCAGGGCAGCCTGGGGAGGAGGATAAAGGGATGCTCAGGAATGGGAAGAAGGGATTATTAAACACATGGAAAGGGACCTGACCTGGCCGGTGGCTGCTGCCCACAAGCCACAAGCAGCTGAGAACTGCAGCAGCCCTGAGGCTGCCCTGGGTTCTGCATGGGGACTAAAGCCACCGTGGAGTGGGGACCCTTCAGCAATGGGGCTGTGCCTGCTTCCCTGAAGCTGAGAGGGGGGTGAGCATCAGGTTTGGGGTCCAGCCTTTGGTTTAGGAGCAGGGCAGTGGGTGAGCAAGGGATGGGGTGGGACAGGGTCACAGGCTCCTTATGGGGCCAGTGGGGAGGTGATGGTTCTGCTGCTCCCGGCACCAGCTATGAGGTTATGGCAAAGCAGTGACTCACTCACCAGTGCTGCTTGCACAAGGTCTGCAGAGAATCCTGCAATGAAGCAGAAGTGGGTTATAAACCACCCACGAACAGAGCTACAGGCAGCTGGGGGCTGCTCTGAAGCAGCTCCAGGCTTAAAGCCTGGGAGGGTCTTTCCTGTATCCATTCAATAGCATTCAGTGAATGCTGGGGAACACGATGCAGAGAGAGGCCCCCCACAGCCTCCACCAGCCCGGGCAACCTCCAGGGGGGATTAGGAGATGAAAAGTGACAAATCAGCCCCTGGGTGGATTCCTAATGTGCAGCTGGGAAAAACACCCACTGCCTGTGGATACCGATGGGAACAGGAGGCAGAGCGCAGGGAATGCCAGAGCCAAGCGGGAAGGGGATGAAAAGAAGAAGAGCATCCCTGGTGGTGGGGGTGGGATGGGGCCCTGGGACAGGGTTGGATTTAAGGGTACAAGGTGGAACTCACGGAAGCAGAGAGCAGAGGGTGCCCGTGCCATGCTGCTGTGCTGGGGCTTCCTCCTTGGCATGGATCAAGTGAGCACAGAACAAACAGGAGCCGTGTCCCAGCTCCTGGATGGTGCTGGGGTCCTGCAGCCGATCCAAAGCTCCGGTGCTGGGGTCCTGCAGCCGATCCAAAGCTCCAGTGCTGGCACAAACCCCCGCAGCGCAGGGAAGGGTTTTACACCCTGTACAGCAGAAACCAGAGTTTAAATCCATCCATTACTATTGTTAAAAGAAACTCCACAATAAACTGTCCTCTCTAACACCCACAGCCCTGCTCCCCCCTGCACCCTGCAGGGACAGCATCCTCCTGCATCCACATGGGACCGCATCAGCATAGACTGGGAGAAACCCAGTGCAGGACACCCGCAGGCTTCCCTCCCCCTGTATCCAACCCCCATAGGAAATAAATCCCTGCTCCAGCTTCTGGAGCTGCCCGGTGAGTTAGCGTATTGCCCTTCCAAGATGATCCAAGTAATCCCTCCATTAAGGCTCGTTGCTCCCTAAATCCCACCGTTGGCCCTTCGGAGCTGCTCTGCGTCCCAAGGGCAGGTGCTCCCGGGCGGCAGTGGGATGAGCACAGCACTTATCTGCTGCGGGGTGGGGATGTTGCTCTCCAACGGGGGTGTGACGGGGCAGTTTCTCAACCGTGTTTTGTAAAGCTGCTTCCTCCCCTGGTTTCGTGTTGGGGTTTTTGCTTTCTCTGTAAAGGGTCACTTTGGGGTAAACCCTCTGGTTTGGGGGTTTCTGTGCTGGCGACAGAGATCCCCCTGGCTATTGAAATGCTTTGGGCTATTCAGGGGTGTGTTTGTAAAGCGAGCAGGGCGTTGAACTGAGTCCCCGGTGATGGGCTCAGCACCCCTCCGGGAGGTTCGTCCACTCACACCCATCCTTTTTGCTTTGACCATGGACAACCCTGTTCCCTTTTTTACAGGTTCCTCCCTGCAATTTCAGATCCAAAACACGTGCCATGAAGAAGGAAGACCTGAAAGAAAAGAAGCAAAGGCTTTCCCAGGCTGTGGGATGGAAACCCCCGAAAATCCCATTGCTGTGTGGCAGCAAATGTTATCTGAGTAGGTATCCCAGGAAAAACATGTTATCCCGGGAATAAGGAAGGATGCGAGCAGTCGGCAGTGGCCATCTGGCTGCTCCTCACCCTACTGATGCCCTAAGCCCACTTGGATGGGTTTGAGGGCATCAGTCTTCACCCAGGGTCCCTGGAGCAGGGTTGGCCGCCCCCTGATGCTGTCCCCATCTCTGTCCCCCACTGTACAACCGGTCCTGCAGCACCAGGGCTCAGTCGATGCCTGCGGCTGTTTCTGGTTGCTATTTTGGAGGGATTTGCTGTAAAAACAGTTTCTGTTGGAGCAGGGAAATGACAGGAGCTTGTTTGCTATGAGGGACACAGCCCTTCCCGCAGGCTCACTGGCCAGAGGTGGCTGGAGTCCACTGCCTCCGTCACGTCCCCACAGAGCTTGAAATTGGCCTTGAAACAGCCTCAGGCGATGCAGGCACAGCAGCATCAACCCCAAATCTGGACACACAGGGAAGCATCCCTTCCCCAAGCCCCTTCCCCTGGTCGGTGATGGGCTCCAACCACACCTCCCTTCTCTTAACCAGCCGCTTCCCTGCCCTTGCTGGGCTTGTGGTCTTGTATCTCACAACCTGAAGACTGCAAGTAACTCCTTAGGGTCTTATTTTTCCTTGTAAAAATATTGTATTTATAAATATATTCTTATAAGATCCCTATAAATATTTATTTTTCCTTATAAATAATTCCTTTTCCAGCTGCTTCAACCTAAGGACTGGCTGTTGATGTACAAGTTATATAGAAATCATGCTTGGTGGCAGCTTTCCCTCTGCACCCCCTAAACACCAGCAACCCCAGGGCTGTTCCCACACCTCTTTGCCAGGGAAAGCTGCGGTATTCCCAAACTAGGGGGTTTTCTCCTGCCTCTGCTCCTTGGCTGGGGACAATCCCAAGTATTGGACATGGTGGGAAACGGACAGGGAAGGGCCAAGGACATCCCTGGTCATGTTACTGAATGCAGGAGGGGTTTTGCATAGAGAATCCCTGTGGTTTCATCCAGGTGAACTTCAGCAGGGTGAGGATGAGCATCGGTGCTCACACAACAGGTTGGCTGGGTTGGAACCCGTGGGCTGGTCCTGCTGGACCAGTTCAGGCTCATTCCTGGAAGCCCCCAGCCCCGCTGCAGCAATGGTACGGATTGAGAGACCAGAGGGTGAGCCACAGGATATGTAAGTAATGGTTTACTACACAGTGTGCAACAAGAGGTAAGGGTTATTGTAAGAAATAAGGGTTATTGCAAGAAATAAGGGTTATTGCAAGCTGTACAGAACATCACAACACACAGCTCCATCACAACCCCCCCATCACATGTGTGAGTGGATCCACAGAGGATGCAGTGATGGCAGAGGACTGGATGTGACATGGTACCCAGGGAAGGGATCCTGGAAAACACCTCTCTGCAAGGTAAGGAAAGCAGGTATTTATCTCCGGTTTCTGCAGCATTGGGTAAAAGTGCAACACATGAAGGCTGATGGGTGGTGCAGGGTGCACGGGGTGAGCAGTGGGTGCCAGTCCCCAGCATTGCTGGTCCCCAGCATCCCCTCACCTTGTCTTGGATGTTGCACAGCAGGGACCATTCCCACCTTCCTAGGGAAGAGGAGGCTGTGTCCCACCTCTGATGCTGCAAACCTCACCCCTAACTCTTCAGGTCCCCTGGTGCACGTCACCCATGGTCATTCTTTGGCAAACAGGTTCATGCTGTTGATTTACAGCTTCAGGACCTGCCTCACCCCTCCCTGGCCATTCCAGGGAGATGGGATGGGCAGAGATGGGGCCTGGGAGGAAGGAGATGGATTTCCTCCTCCTCCAACCCCTTTAAGCCCACTGCCACCAGCTCACAAGCCTGTGGTCCCTGTAACACAATGCAATACCCCATGGGGTTTTGGTGACCCACAAGGAGAGGGCTGTGCTGGTTTATTGCCCCTCAGGGTAGGAATACAATGTGAAACCACTGATACAGGATGGGGCTTGTGGGATGACAGGGACTGCAGCACATGCTGATGTGGTGGCTCGGTGCAGGACACCCCAGGGATGGGTGCTCTGTGTGCAATGGGCTCCAGCCATCTCCATCCTTCCCCAACTTTCCTCATTGCTCCTTCCCACTCTTCACATCAGCCCTCAGCCTTCTGCAGCTTCAGCCACTTCCTTGGCTGCCCCAGAGCCTTCCCAAACTGAAGAGGAGCCACATGATAGGACCAAGACATCATCTTATTCCCCTTTGCTTGGGTAAAGCAAGAAGGGGTTTGGGTCTTGTAACCTGTGTCTGCAGGGGTTACATCCCCACCCAGGTAAGAGTGGGTGCTGGGAAAAGGCAATGCTAGGACAATAGGATCTATTAAAAAAGCTTTGGGCTGCTGGCTCCCTGACCACAGAAGTACTAAAACTGCTCACTCTGGAGACTGCCCATATTCCAGAACCACTAAAAGATGAGATTCTTCTCGTAGAAACCTGAAAAAAAAAGATTAAAATCCATTTGGATCAACTCGCCCCAGGATTCACGGGGCTGATGGAGCCCCCAGGCTGCACTTCAGCCTCCTGATCTCCCACCTCCCAGTCAATGTGTGCCAGCGAGCACAGCAGGCTGGAGTGAAAGGAACGGGAGTGAGGGACAAGGGGAATGGCTTTAACCTGCCAGAGGGGAGACTGAGATGAGCTCTTAGGCAGAAGCTCTTCCCTGTGAGGGTGCTGAGGTGCTGGCACAGGGTGCCCAGAGAAGCTGTGGCTGCCCCATCCCTGGCAGTGTTCAAGGCCAGGTTGGACACAGGGGCTTGGAGCAAGCTGCTCCAGTGGAAGGGGTCCCTGCCCGTGGCAGGGGTTGGAGCTGGAGGAACTGTAAGCTCCCTTCAACCCAAACCATCCTGAGAGTCAATGACACAACACCCAAGCTGCCCCAGGTGTGTTCTCCCCTCCCTTTGCTTTGCCATCCTGGCACTGAGGGTTTGCGGACGTGTCCATCATCCTCATGGCAAAGGCAGCATCCCTGCTGCCCTGGCTGTGTCTGAGCCCTGGGGTGAGGACATAAAGCTTTTGGGTCACTCTAAGCTGGTACATGACACACTGACTCTGCTGCCGAGGCCCACAGTTAGGAAAGGGGCATCCAGTGGCCAGATGGATAATGTGTACATTAAAAACCGCTAAACACTGCTAAAATCTGCCTAATCCCAGCCCCAGAAGTGAAGGAAGCCATGGATACAGGAAGCGCAGGCATGGAGTCAGCGCTGGGCTCCGCAGGGACCCACTGGGATAGAAAAGGAGCATTGGGCTGGAAATGCAACGACGTGGTTTGTGCTCACTCCAGTGCCCACTCGGCCAACCACTGCTCGCACCGGGCTCGCTGCTCCTCTGTCTCTGGGCTCTTGGCTTCACTCAGTGCCTCCTGCTCCCCACCACCGAGCACGGCTCCCTGGCTTTCCTCTTCCTCCTTCTGCATCACCTTGTCCTTCAGCTCTTGGATGGTCTCATCCAGCCGGTGAGTGATGCTCTGGGGCACCCAGTTGCTGTCCATTGCGGTGATGAAGGGGTCGGGGGCGCAGACCTCAATGAGCTCCTTGCCGGTGGGGATGCGCAGGTAGTAGGCATGGAGCATCATCCTATAGGGACTGCTGTCCTTCCTGTGGCTGTAGGTGAAGTCCCCCACAATGGGGTGGCCGATGGCGCTGCAGTGAACCCGGAGCTGATGAGTGCGCCCTAAGGGGAAAGGAACCATGGACTTGGGTTATCCCTGAATCCCTCCATGAGGATGCAGTGGTGATAACGCACCAAATGGCATTTATCCCCATTTGAATCCTCTGAGCTTGGTGCCTCTGATCCCTTCAGCCCTTTCTAGGCTTCACTTTGCACCATGCACCCACACCAAGGCCCAAGGCTGCACATGCAGCATCTCCGCCTGCCCAGCCTCAGCACCTTGTGCTGCTGAGGACAAGGAAGCCCCATGGAGCCCCTGGGACCTCAGCCCCACCCCGTTCAAACGCTGCCCCAACCCCAACCTCCTA